GGAAAACGCATTCCCTGGATATTAGTTGGATCATAAGATCTCACTCATATTTGCGAGTTTGGGCGGGTGGATTCGTCCCCAGCGAAGCGTGGGAGAGGGTTGTATGGCGCCGCCCAGAGGATGTTGGTTTATAGATAAAACGCGGTAGGGGCTCATATATAGCATTTTGAAGGTGGCCGCGTATATATACGTCCTTTGGGTGGTTGCAACAGAGCTTCCGGTTAATTTTGGAAACCCGCAATACCTAGAGTAACGGTACAGGTACATACGTGCAGGTACCTACGGGTACATATACCTACAGCTAGAGGTACATAACACATGTACTCCGCAGTTCATATTACTTCTCTGCACAGTTCCTGCCTCCCCCTGATTAAGAGCATTGTTGTGCCTCTAGGTGCACGGCTGCGCTGATACAGAAAAGTGCAAAAAAGACATTGTTCGTGGTCATTTTATTGAGATGACCATCACTCGTGGAATTTGGTCCACAGAGAAGCTTGGCGCGTAATAATGTGAATCTCAATTTGCCAAAAGCTTACTTGCCCCGCCACCGGCCACCACCACTGTCTCTCCTCCTCATGCACGCCTAGATTGTGGCTGATTCGAACAAGTCTCATCTTAGGTTTTACTCTACCTATCTGAATCTATATCTGACCAATCTAGAACTCGTATTTGTTCTACCCATATGAGGGGCCCCCCCGCGCCGGGGGGGAAGAATTGCAATTAACTGCAATTGATAAAGTAAAAGGGATAATACTAGCTACAAGTATGGACTTCAATTCGACAGGACATATGTTTGTTTATACGTGCTCATTAAACAAACCCGCCTCCACTTGAACGCATGACTCCCGACCGCATCAGATATGCGGATTCAAAATATCACTTTCTCCACACTTTTCAAGTGCATTATTGTACGAGACTGTTTTCATTTCCTTTCAGCGGCTGATCACACAGGATGTTGAAGTTACCTCACTACAGGGCCGGGGAAGATTAAGGGGCGTTTTCAAAGACAAATAGCCAAGTAAGAGGTAATAATGTCTCATGCGACCGGCCCCAAAACTGTTGTTTTCGTTGTTTAAATGATGTTTGTTCTTTCTGGTTAAGGTGCAAATATAGATATATTCATAGAGACAAGGTTAGAATGTTACCGAAACTATATGTATCCATCTATGGCGGCTATAGAGGTGATATATCTCGATATAACTAAAAGCTATTATAGGACAGTTGAATTAAGAAGACATCACTGCAAGGTATCGGGTATTTTAGCTCGTGGATATTTATCGTAACTTTGGCTAGGTCATGATGGCTTGTATAATCGTCTAAGATAGAGGCACTTCGGGATTGTATCGCTCGACACGAATAGCGATGGGACCTTATAACTTTGTGCAAACATTAGGCTTTTATCTGGTCTGGATTCTCTGATATCGGCTCTCTGAGTAGGCGCCTATATAGAATGGCCCCATGTAGCTTGGGGAGGGCAAGAGGTAACCCGAGGCAGTGACCGAGTTGCGCAGTTGAGGGATCGCACCACTTATCAAAGCTTGTTTTCCGGACCAAAGGAGTCGCTTTCTGGCAACGTTACATATACAGGAAATTACACCTAGGCTGAACATCACTTCTCGATCGCTAACTTCCTTCCATATGTGTATCGTTCGGCCGAATTGAATACGAGCGTCCTCAAAAACCATAACTAAATCTATCAAAATCGGACTCCCAGGATCTAATAGATCATCGGACAGCTCTCCATCCCTGCTTCCGATAAAAATAACACCCTCGAGTTATCCAAACTAGGCAGCTGATGTCGACATAGTCACTGATCAGTAAGGTTTAAAAGTTAACTCATTGCATTCAAGATCTAACGGCGAGCCTATAGTTAATCTTTTTCTTCACCAAGTATCACCCGTAAGGAAGGAGGGAGGGTCGGGAGTTTGCACATTGATTAGGTTCACCTATATAGCCCCGAATAAAGGAACCTCACCCGTACGCTTGGTTCGACGTTTCCTCGACGCGGCATGTCATACCCTGACATTTTATCACACGTGTGCCGTCGAGTATTCGTCAGACGTCAGAAGGATGTTCGCATGATACCTGGCACTATGTACGAGAGTATGTACTCTATACTCTACTAGCGATAATACAAAGTCTGTCCGCTTTGGTAAATGTGTGGACAAGAAAGTTTGGTGTCCTACCTACGTACCAAAGGGGACAGACTTTATATTCCCGGTAGTAGAGAGAAGTACATATTTCCAGCTCGTATAGATCTATTTTTGTATGGGTAGTGCAGGTACCCTATGCAACAAACAAAATCCCCGGGTACATACGTGCCGAGCGATCCGCTGCCACAGTGGCGGGACCAATTGTTTGCACGTGCTCTCGGAGGTGAGACGGGTTTGGGGAACTGTTCGCCGGTTGGTTAAGACGAAGTGCGAAAAGAAGGATTGCAATTTGGACATGTAGGTACTTTCTGGACGAATCCCTTTGAACATCAATGCCAGGGGCAAGGCAAGAGTAATCAATCTAGCATTAGTTCCTGCACTTCTGAAGCATCCTGATCGATATCCTGCATATGGGATGAATGGGTGGGGATAATCCCTCTCAGAAACAAGCTCATGTCAATCAACCAGTTTGTTGCTTGTATCGTTCAAAGTAATCTATTGGCACTAACCGCCCTGGCGACTAACGAATAATTAGCGCGGTGATTTTGTTTACTAACCCGTTTCCTTTTCGCGTTATGAACGTTTCCTTCTAGTGGGTCTCTCATTAGGTTCTATTTTCGAAGGGAAAAAAAACTTCCTAGCCTTCCCATCGTTGCCATAGCGGAGACGCCGAGAAAAAGCTAGGCTGGGAACTCTTGGGGTCTCAGAATATCCCATGTCTAAGAATCGAGAACTGAATCACCAACTCAGTCAGTAGGACTTCTCCGGTTCGAAAGTTCGCCAATTACTCTGCCCGCTTCTGCAAGTGAGATTCCAGTTTGGACATACATACGCGGCTGGGATCCCTATTTGAATATGTGCATGTAGCCATGAGCTGGCGGCTGCTGGTGGAGTGAAAGTTCGTTGTATTCTAGATAGATAGATTTCAGCCAGCCGCTCGGTGTAAAGGCGGAATCTTTTGAGCTCAAGGCTTAAGACTTCCGAGAACGAACGTTCGGCTCCTTCTCGAGTGATTTCCGGTGCATTGATCTGGGACGGTACGGCGTGTTCCGTCTGACATCTCACTACGACCCGGCCGCCGAGATATGTCGAGAAAATCATGCGGGTCTTTCACAACTCTCTTGCCAGCCTTTTCAGCCCGACCTTCAGCTGAAGGGTAAAAACCTTATGTAAAATGTGGAGAACCGCCTATCGCAGCCACAAAACGCTTCATTGGGCGATGCCAACGTCACGCAAACAGCCAGCGAAGAGAAGATCCTACATGTCAGTCTATGCAGGGTGGTGGGTGAGCAGCCTACTGTAGGGAGAGGGATCTGGGATACGGAAAGTACTCACGAGGTTGAGTACATATGTACCGTACATAGCTTAGAGTAACAAATGTGATACAGCAATCGTTGCGATTGATACTCACCCATTCGTTCTGCAAGTTCTGCGAGTGCAATTCTTTCGATCGGTAGAGACGAGTTTGCATTGGAGGTTCTTGGCTGGGGTAGGGCTGCTGTTTGACGATTGGTAAAAGTAGCGAGGTTATCAGCCCCAGAGCTCGTATAGGATAATTTTAGTAGGACGTTTGACCTGAAGTGGTAATTCCCGATGATTAGGACTCCGATCTGGGAACCCCGCACGAGCGATGTCGCTTGAGACTTGAGTGCCTTCCTACAGCACGCATGGGATATGGCTTGGGCTTGGATGGAATCGCAAGAAACGAAAGAGGAGAAACATGGCATAAAGCGTCAGACAACTACATGTAGGTACATACATACATGTATGTTCTCTGTTAACCACCTACCTACCTACTTACACGAGGACGCGGTTTCAATTTGGCTGGCACAAATGCAAGGGCCCATGCGAAGGATATCTAGAGTAGATCTAAATTAAAAACAATATTACCTATACTGTCTAAACATACTTGTAGTAGAGGAGGTATGTCAAGTTAGGTACAGTACGAGTCTACATATGTACAAGTAGTTATCCCTTAAGTCGGTAATGAGACTGGAGCGAGGTAAGATTTCTTCTGGGTCCTGGATTATCGAACAACACTTTTAGTGTGTACCTGCGTACGTGTTGTGGAGTGTAGGTTTTCTTCAGCCGCATGGCTTTTTTTCTCCCCTTTCAATTTGTGTGTCTAGCCCAAAGTGCAACAAAATACCACCTATTTGGCGAAGGTTTTGATTCTGCTCCATCGGCTTTGCCCTCAACAACCAGCTGTACTAGAGTAACTGCGGTCCTGGGTGGTTCACAATCATGCCATGCCATGCCATGCCATGCATGCTGTGCATGTAGCTAGCCTACATGTAGCCAAAGTACCCACAACTTTATCTCTACCTGCTCTACGTACTCCCTAGCTACTCGGAAGGAATGTCGAATGCTAATTGTAGAGGCGTACAAACGCCAACCTAGAGTTACTGTTGCTGCAAGCCATCTTCGACTAGCGGAACCTAACCGTCATGTGTCCGAGAAGCGGTAAGACCAGTCAGTGCCAGAGTTGTGCATCCTTAATTTTATGGTTTTTACTCAGCTCAAAAATAAACTGTCTTTATCTCTGATCCACCCGTTGTCCTGTCTATTAAAACCCCTCGAGTTTCCCTACTTAATGCTCCTCCTCCTCTCTCATTCTTATCCTCATCATCATCCCACCAACACTCGTTCTCGCTCAGACTCAATCCAATTGGCAAAAGTACTCTTCAGCATACGATAATCACTATTCTATATCGCAATCGTTGATCATGGTCAGAATTGGATCTCTACTTATGCTCTTCGGAGCTGCCATTGCTTCCGTTGCTGCTCAGCAATGCGGTACTCAGAACAGTAACAGGGTTTGTGCCGCCGGACAGTGCTGCAGTCAGTATGGATGGTTAGTCCCCCACCCCCGTCATGTCATCAGAGTTCCATTTGTACTTTTAGGGAAACTGCTGCTTCTTGGCATCCGGTTGATATATGCGTCATATCCTGTCAATTACTTGCCGATATTTTAAGCTTTCATAGTTGTGATCCTATATGCTGACCTTTTCCCATTGCACAGGTGTGACACCACTGCTGCTCACTGTAATCCCGCAAACTGCCAACGTGCCTTCAGTGGTGCTGGATCGTCTTGTGTAATTCCCCCACTATATATATACACCTTTAGCTGTTATCTCTTCCTCATGCTTACTTTGAACGATGAATAGGCTGGATCGGGATCAGGATCAGGAGGCACCACCACTAGTACAACTCCTACCTCCCCTCCTCCAAGTGGCAGTACTGGCATTGGAAATACTGTTCCCCACATCGATATTTGTGGTGCTGGCAGCGGTGGCATTAGCTGTCCAGGTGCCGGTATTGGGGGCTTCTTTTATCGCTGCTGCGTAAGTTACATAAGGATCTTCGGCATCAATTGATCGTGAGATAGAGAAAGCTAACACATGCTAAATTTAGTCTGGAAATGGTCACTGCGGACCTAAGAACACTGTAAGTCTCAATCGTCCCTTGCGTTCGGCCATCAAATACTGATTATTTCAGGAACAATCCCAATACGATTATTGCGGTACCAGCCACTGCCAGCCCGGTTACGGTGCCTGTGATCCCACCCGTTCTCTTCCTCCTAATCCTGCCGCACCTGCTACTGTTGCCGGTCCCCAAGAAAACTGCGGGCCAATCGTTAACAAAAGATGTCCCGCCGGGCAATGCTGTTCCGGATGTAAGTTTAATTCCATATTTTAGCTGCAATTAGAGAATAGCAACTAACTCCTCCTGATAGCCAACTATTGCGGTACTGGACCTGATTTCTGTGGTGCTGCCAACTGGTGTCAGGTCAACTGGGGCGAGTGCCACAGATAGGTTTTTGCTCCCGGATCTATATAACGGTCTGAGGCCTCTTGAAGGTGTAATCGTGAAACGATTCTGATGATTTTCATGTTTTTATAAAATCCCTATAGCCATAGCTACTTAGTGCACACGTAATTCCTCAAAATTAAAATATTTTTTGCTACTTATAATTATTCATTGAATATCACTCGAGGAACATTCTGCATTTTGTGTGGGGTATTAGCCGGGGGTTTAGTGTAACGTCAAGTGAGTTTACGGCAAAGACCTTAAGCTGTCATTCAGTTCGGTGCTGCTTAAGTGCATGAGCGGCAAAGGCGGTGCTCTAAGCACATTAGAGTTTATTAGAATAACTAGCTTCAGAATCCACCCTGCGCAAACGAATCTAAAAAAATCAGGTACTACATGTATGCATGTAGTACGGAGCTGAGAATATAAAATATAAATACTTAACTTGTTACTACTAGCAAGTTATAATTTAGAGTTCATGTATCTCTCAAAATTAAAGGATTCAGGCTTGATATTGACTTTGAATGTTGGTAGAAGTGTAGGCTCCGCCGCGGTTCAGAAGGGAGTACTAGGAAGACCTTTAATTCTGGATGCTCCGTGTGACCGTAATTCATAATCGACTAATAGGGCTCCCAAACTTTAGCATCTGGTCCAGCGTGATGCATGTTTTGTGGACGGTGACGTTGAGTATTTCGGCCCAAAAAGTCCTAAATGAATTTTTTCTCTTGCAATCAACAATTAGGCATCAACGTCGCTCTCTTACTCAATATTTGCATGCCATTATTTAGGTTTCTCTTCGGTAGGCATACTTAACGAACTCCGTTTACGTTTATCAGGTACTCTAATAAGGCAGTAGAGACAGATAACTGGCTACTATAATGGCATCGATCCAACGACCTGGTAATTACCATACCATTTTAGTCGAGGGCAATTGAGACAAAAAGGCTGAGAAGTTAATGCCAAATTGTTATATTATAGTCGAAGTATACCGTTAATGATGACTTCTAAATTCAGAAAAATCGAATAATTTCAATTCCTTCATGATCAAGCCACCACTGTTGCACTTATAAAAAGCTAGCCAGAGATCACGAAAAGAAAAACTGTCTGGGGGCCGGGGTAGTGCTGGTGACAATCTAAATTAGACCGGTTAGTAGAACTTGATAAAATGATACTGAGCTGATAATAAATGATCGATCTGATAAGATTGATCTAGATGCATTGATTATACTTTGGACGACCATCCTCCAACATCGGTCACTTGAGACGCACGTATCCTCAATGTTTACACAAAAGCTTTATTATTATCACTAATTACATTATTTACAAACATATCCTTCCTTATTCATAGTAAACTACCCTCGTCACTTTAGTTCTTTGTCTCCACACCCTCGTCATGCTGCCTTCCGGTGCGTCCATGGTTACCGATAACAACACCACCGTAGTCGTTGTTCTCATCCGCTTCCTTCAAGTTGATATCCTTCGTGATGGCAATGAAGCCCAATGGGACAAACAAGAGAATCAGTGCAACCATAAGCTGGATGCGCATGACTTCATCGTATGCACGATTGATTCCGGTTCTCTCAGCAGAACCCATGAGGTATGTAGAACTGGCTACGACGAAGTTGTCCCTGATGGAAGCAATTTCGGTAGCGTTGGAGTTGGGAAGGTGGAGTGCTAACTTTTGAGGGAGAAGGTCTAGGAACTGTTAGTGGCTTGTGCTTATTCCTGGAGGGTATGAGGGAGATTTACTGGTCCAGATACCACCGGAGATGGAGTCTCCAACTGCTCCGCCGACAGAGTATCCTGTTGCAAGAAGCGCGGTGACGGAAGCGACGTCTTTTCAATTACCAGTTAGTTTTTGTCCATCCCCCCTGGGCTTTATGGCCGAAAGTGGAGACTAACCTCTGTGCTTAACAGCTGCCTGTACACCGACCTGAATAACGTTCAACAAACCAGTACCGATACCAAAGATAACCTGTCCCATCACCAATTGCGCAGTGCTGGAATCAATGTCTCTGTATCTGAACATGAGACCACCACCGATAATTTTGATGCAGATACCAGCCACTACAACCCACTTGTAGTTACCAGTGTATCGGACTGCAAAGGCAATAATGAGACCTGATGCTGTGGAGGCGAAACTGGACGCAAGGACGATGTTGGTGGCCGCCTTGTAGGAGTGGCCACGAACAACCACGAGGTATGAGTAGAAGTATGGCTGGTAAATGTAAAATGCGCAGAAGGCAAAGAAAACAACTATTTTTTTCCATGGTTAGAATTGGTTTACCGACTAGAGGATTAGTCACTTACCACCACAACCACCAAGGACGGTTCTATCTTTGAGGAGATCCAGGGAAAGAATGGGTGTCTTTGCAAAGTATACCTCCCAAATAGGGAACACAATCAAGCAGATGACACCGACAACCAACATGACAATGATGTGGGAGCTTGCCCACTTATCAGGGTACCTAGCTGCCAACGTCATGGGCAGCAACACCAGTGTAAGACCAGCGGTGAATAAAGTGAGACCAAGGATATCGAGCTGTGAGAACAAAGCAACTGGATCACGTAGCAAGGCGCTGTTCTTGTCTTTGTTGGAGATGACACCAGCTTTGGAAGCTTTGTGCTGATGGTATCCGAGAGAGATGAGGAGGGGAATCGCACAGGCGGGAATGATGATAGCATACATTCCGTATCCCCAACGCCAGGTGCTATCTCTCAAGACACGCTCGACGATTGGGGCGCCGCACCATGTGGTGAAGAGGAAGGGGGCCAAGGGAAGAGCGTTGAAAAGGGCACGCCATTTAAGGTTGGTGGTATCTGAATGTCAATCATGTTAACAAGTGTCTCCTCAGCGCGGTATTGGCGCCAAAGACTTACCAGCCGCAAAAATCTGCTGCATGAACTGAATACCGACTTGACCGGCGACATAGAAGATTTGAGCTGCAGCAAATGTTCCTATGTCCTGCGAAGCGGCCTCAAGGATAAAACCAAGAGTGAGCAAGACGACGGAGAAGGTGAAAGCTTCAAAACGACTATACACCGCCAATAAGCTACTGCAATATCATAAGATTTGGAGAGAGAAATATACCCAAAAACATCGGCAATCTTTGCAACTGGCGGCTTTGTTACAGCATACATAATATTCTGCACGGTACCAATAGTCGCAAGGAGAGAATGTGCTCCGAATGTTGAAGTTGCCATTGGCTGGTAGGAGTAGATGGTCTGGGAATCCAAAGAGACCGCGACAGCTAACAGCATGATACCCGCCCATGCGGTCCACAGGCCCACTTTCGACCATGCCAGTGTCACTCCTTCGATTTTCGCGACACCTGCAGTTTTCTCGATAGAGGCGGTGTCACTGTTGTTAGTGGTAGCTTCAGCTACAGGTTCTTTCTTCTCCGACTCGCCGTGCATCTTGGTGTTGTATTGTCAAATTCAGAGACTTGGAAGGAGAGCTATTGACGAGAGGATACGAAGCTCTGTTGTGGTGAGGGGTACCTGATATATAAACTCCCCCCACTGCAGCAGAGGATGTTTTCTCTGCTTGCAGCCTCGGGTGGCCATGGTCGTAGGTACTACTCATGCATTGGTCGTCCCATGCACCCCCGGTTAGAGCAGGTAGTACTCTCTGGGTCTAAGATTATCATGCAGGGAAGATTATTTAGACTTCAAAGCTCTCCACGCACTTTTAACATGCCGAGCCACCTTGTTTCGCACTCCACTCCTCTTTTTGGTAATCAGTCTTGCGACTTAATCTCGAATTTACATCCCCAGCTTCAATATTCCAAATGGCCACCAGACACTTTCTCCGGAGAGGCGCATAACGCTGGGAACTTGCAAGCTCCTCCTCTCCCATTGATGCACACAGATACATACTAAATTACCAACTCACAATTGATCGGGGCGAATTTTAAACAAAATCGCCAGCATTTACGGTCTTTGGCATAGTAGAGCTAGGCAGAAGAAAAAACAAGGATAAAGTTATCATCGGATCAGATTGTGTGCCTGCCAACTAGCGCCCTTGATCTCAGTTGTCAGAAATCGCAAGCGAGCTGGGGGCGCAAATTAGCAACACCCCTCCAACATCCCACTTACAGACTCCGGTTTTTTATCGGATCTTGCGATTAGATTGCTGCGCTAGATCATATCAGATGAGATTACGAGAGATGGCGTCGTTCTCGTGATGATAACCATGCCGTGCCCCACTCTACCCACGTTAACTTGCAGGGGACGAGCGAGGTGGTGTGGTTTCCTGGGTCTGCTAGGTACTCTTGGCCTGCGGCATGATAGAAATTCGCGCAGTTCCTATCCTTTTTTGTAGACCGATACCAACTGAAAATTTTCTTCTTCTCGACCAGTTGAGGATGTGGCGGGTTGCTGTTTGGATTGCTGAGCACGTTTTTTCTAGTCTCGTCCCAGGCCCTTGGTTAAAAAACATTGTCTGTGCCCAATTCAGTTGGATCTTGCGATCCTTTCCAGTCAAGTGGCCGGAATCCTAGTAAATTATTTGAATGGGGTGTTGGTTTTACATAAGTAGAGCGTTACAGCAAGTTGTTACGCATGGAAAGGATCTTATCTAGGCAGAGGTGACTCTCTATTTATAATTGTCACGCTCTGGAACAACCGGAAATGCACAGTTGTAGTTTATCAGGGGATGGATTACACATTTATGGCCCGTTGCTGAACCTCTTAACGATCGTATGATCACACCGGTACGTACGTCTCTTTTAGGTTTATGGTAGTTATGAGGGTGATTTTAATATCGTATTGAGCCTGGTTAACATGTTTTCGTAGATACCACGGTTATTGTGCCGCATAATTTCTTTGTTACTTGGGCTGTACATACCCTGAACTTGTGCCTTAATTTTAAGAGTATGGGGGGTTGGGAATAACCGTTTTTGGTATTGATGTTAGTCGATATTCACGACTGAGTGGGGTCATTCATGCCTAGGCCTATTACGGCGCCGATAATAATTTCTGACTGTTTCAACCATGCCGGATTAGATTACTTGAATTATTCACAAGTGATCACTCGGCTTGTCTCACTATATGGGAAGAAAATATAAGGAACAAGGATGCGTTAAAACTCGGCATTACTTGTAAGCATGTAGATGTTAATCGAGAGTTGGAAAGGTTCAAGAAGTCATACAAAGTGATAAACCGGCGCCTATTCCATATCCGACTTGGAATCATATATACATGTAGCTTAATAAGTCACCGTTGTACTCATGTTGTCTCTCCCACCCCATCGACGCTGAGAAATCTCATAGATACATGCTTATACATTCATGCACAGAAACTCATAACTCATCAGAAAGCTACATGTAGTTACAAAAGAAAATCCTAAAAAACCCCAAAACCCCAAACCCCAAAAACTAAAAATTATATATGTGTTTGAGATACTTATTAAGAACTCCAAAACTCCCCCATCCTTCCAGTACAAATAAGGACTTTCACACCCCGCCGCTCCTCTACGGATATGTCATCCGTCATCATATTTTAGGAAGAACCGTTATCTCGTAGGATTCAACCTCTTCTCTTCTCCTTCCTTCTCGATTCTCTCTTCTTCCCCATTCTCGATCCTCCCGATCCTCTCTCATTCTCTCATCACGATCCCGGATTCCCTCACCGCCTATTTCTCCCTCGCCACCTGCTTCTCCCTGACTTCCTCCATCGCCAACAGAACCACTTGCATCTGCACCTTCCTCTCGATACCCCCCATTTCCGTCTTCAGCCCCACCACCATGCGTTGACCCATTGATCCCTCGATACAGAATTGTGCCATCCGTCACTACGATTACGTGTTTCATTAACGAACGCTGTCTCGGATTCGGCGATTTGAAGATCTCGCTGATCTCTTCTAATGTTCTGTTCTTCGTCTCAACAAAGCTGTTTTGTTATAATAAGATTAGTGATCACGGAAACTGGATGGAAAGTAGAAAAAACTTCAAGGAGCGCGCGCTTACAAGAAATAGATACAGACAATCTCAATCACGTCCCACACAATGAAGATGAATACGAATCCCCAGCTAATTTTGTCGATTATAGTTGCCATGCCATAGGTGTTAAAGATTGCTGCAACATTCACAAAGAAGTTGTACACGCCCATGCCCTTGGCCCGGGTTTCATATGACAAGCATTCCACGGGGTACAACATCTGAAGTGGTGTATATGCAAACGAGTGCGTGATGCCAAAGAGATAAATAAAAGCAATCATTGTTCGATTTCCATCAAGATTCGTATTAGTTTCCTTCCCGTAGAAGGTAGAAAGAATGAGGATAATGGTCCACCATATGACAAAGAGGCATGTTCCGATAAGAAGCATAGGACGGCGTCCTACACGATCGACGAGGAAGGCGCCAACAAAGGCAACAATAAAGGAGAGTACCATAAGGATTGCGTTGAGTTTGAGCTGGGTCCGTTCGTCTGTGATGCCGATGTTTTCAAGAAGGACGGGCATGAAGTGTGTTACAGCGCCATTGCCGGACCACTGGACCTTTGTTAGAAGAGATGGCTATGATGGAAATAATATATATATATAGTGGAGAGTTATACCTGAGAGAAGAAAGCCATACCGATGACACAGACCATTCTCCACCTGGCAGTGGTGGTATTCCACAACTCGGAATAATCCCACCACCGCTTATCAGATCCCGAAATGACTATCTCTTCAAGCATCTCCTTGTACGAAAGAAGAACTATTGGTGACTTTCGGTTACCCTCACCGTGGTACATCGTTATAACCCGAATTGCTTCTTCATTGCGGTCATTTGAAACAAGCTTCGAAAGAGTCAGCATAGATTCAATATACATGTGTGCATGTCACAACAGATCTATTAATTATTTGGAAAAATAAAATAAAGCATGACATACCCAACGCGGCGTTTCAGGGCACCAAAGACACGTGACGAGAAGCGATCCAGAGGCAGCGATTTGCAGCCATAATGGGATTCTCCAGGCCTTGGGTGATTTGATGGTGTCAGTTCCATACATTGCCCAACTTGCTGCAATCTATAGAAAAATAAAGGTCAGTAACAAAAAACACTCAGTTATATACTCCCTAATGTAATAAGTTCTGTTGTCTTACCCCGCCAACAAAATAACAGGTGTTGTAAAGCCCCGTCAAGGTACCTCTCCACGCCGGATGTGCCATCTCAGCTACATAGGTCGGACCAGCCGTCGTTAAAATTGCCGCACCGAGACCCAGTATAAATCTTCCCCCCATAAATTGGGGGTGTGTTCTTGAAGTTGCCTGGACGCACGTCCCAATGATTGTAATAAAAGCACCGGTGAATAGGCCCCATCGTCTTCCCCATCCATCTGCTATTGGGCCACAGATGAAGCAGCCACTAAAGTGTCCAATCGAATAGACAAGAAAGACTATGCCTGTGCTTGATCCAAGAGTTTTCATACCGAAGTAACTAAATCACTAGGATTAGTCAGATTTCATAGTTAAAAAGTCCAGGTTAATACAAACTCTTGATATTCCTTCATAGCATTAATCCCACCCATGACAGATCCATCGTAACCGTTGATAGTAGACGATAAAAATGCCACAAATAGGAAGCAATACAGCTTAAACATCGGCTTCGTCCATGGGCTTGGTTTCTGGGCTAGTAGCGCCTTCGTAAAGCCCACATGAGAAACACTTCTGATGTACTGCTGATCGCTCGAGAGTGGGGCCGCCAGACTCGGAAACGAGTCAGAGCACGAAAATTGCGTTGGATCTCTCGGCCCTTTACTCATTCCTCCTGGTGATGTGGCATCGTCTTCAATACCATAATTCGAAGCAGCAGCACCGGTGGTTTGATATCGATATTCTGTCGGTGGTGACGTTCCCCCATTAATGCTGCGGACAGATGTGTCCAGCTCCATGGCTGGATGGAGGAAAGGGTTTGCCAGCTTGGTGGCAGACAGACAGACTAAATGAAGCCTTACTTAATGGGAGGGCAGCGTCGCGCAATTATTCGAAATGTATTTCCCGTGAACCTGGCATACGGTTGGTCTCCAGGAACAGAGAACCATAACGATGATCCACAAAAGTAGTAGACAAGTCGGGGAAGATGGTGGGTACCGTAGGGAATATCAACAAATAGACTGCCCGGGGAAAGGACTGGGGTGTTTTATTTTTTGAATTGGGAGGGGGGGGGGGGGGCGTGTGAGGCTTGTGGGATGGGGACTGCAATAATTGGGGACGTTGTCAACCCTGCCTGTACAGAATAGATACCCATGTCTGCTTTTCAACTTTCTCATACCTAATTTTTTTATTTTATTTTATCTTCCAAGCAGAGGGACGCATCGCTTAGGGCGCCCCGCGTTTGTTGATTCAAATGACCATCCATTACTGGGCCTGTTTCGGGGTGATGTACACTGGATGGTAGCTAGCTAGTTCACCACTGTGGTGGTGGTGTTCGACGGTCATGGAAGATCCTTTCGTGGAGTGAGTGATAAGTAATATTACGATGCCTAGCAGAAGAGGTGAGACCTGTGCTCTAGCCTCTTGCTCCTTACTGGTAACGCCAGGTACGGTACTCGATCGATCCTTTCCTCCTATAGAGATCATGGTGCGCCCTTTCCTTCAGGAAACGAGATTCTCTGTTGTTACTAGTATCTTCCTAGTCCTTCGTCACCACTTCCCCGGGAAACACCAATTCCATTTTGGTCGATAGTAGGAGGGTGCAAACAAGGGAGTTTAGGCGGCGCACGGCCTCTTCGCAGCGTGAGAATTATGAAATGTGTAGTGTGAGTACATGTAAGCAGCACCCCTTTCTTGAGCTTGCACTTCCGATATTTGGGATATTTGGGGAATGAAATTGTTAAAATAGTTGATAGCTGGGGGGGTATTTGGAACTTGCAACCTTTCCACCTCCACCGGTCCCAAGGGGATGAGATCTGGTGGACATGTGTGACAGTACCGAGGCATTGGTGGTCATGCCAGGTTTCAATATCCTCCCACTCTTGCACAAAGTTCGTACCTATAACTATGGCACATATACCCCAATATTGGTTCACATATTCGACTACATGTTTGTACCTACCTAGGTATCGTATCTGATGTTGATATGTAGGTACATAGGAGGTGTCTTGTGGCGAGCGGTGAATGTGCTTGTGGTGTGGCACTCAGGATCATGCAACACTTTGAGGTTCGCCGTCGGGCGTCCTTTCAGCGAGGCCCCGTATTGAGGTGCTGCACAAAGTACTTGATCGCAGGGACAATCGTATTCCATCATGGGATTCTGGCTAAACAATCTATCTCGGTCATGAAAATGGTTCGTTACGACGAGACAAGAACACAGCGCCGCCAAAAAGTCTTGATCTCAGAAGTTCCAATTAGTTAACGCCACCACCGTGCATTTTCCCAGCACGACTGGCCGTGGAGCAGCTCAGTTTTTTTTTTTTTTTTTTATCTACATCTACAAGTGGTACGTATGTAGATAGGTATATTCTGATCCAGGGTTGTCCTTCCCCAAAGCAAGCACCTCTCACGCTTCCCCAGTCACATTACATGTCAAGTGCAGCTCAGAGAGGCGCGTGCGCCCCATAAAAAACCAGATATCGATTCTTGACCGAAATCTTTGGGTTTTCGGGGCGGTGGGGATGTTCTTTGGCACTCTGCTTCACAGGCGGCTAGTTGCTGTTACTCTAAAGACTACAGCAACTCGGTAGATGGTTGAGAGATAAGTTTTCGAAGCGACGCGCGCATGTGTCACCCACCCAGTAGAAGCCCCTGCATTCGCCAAGCAAACCCGTTAAATGCTTCCCTACCTGCGAACTAGGTTCTTACTTACTCTACCAGGACGTCAAGAGAAAGTGTGGCTGGGAGGGGATTGTGGGGAGGAAGGCTTGTTGCTGGGGGTTAGGTGCTTGGAATCTTGGGGATCTTTTTCTTGCTTTGGCTATTATTGACTCTGTGAATAGACAGCCCTCTGCAACTGTGCTCGCTAGCCAACCGAGGAGATAGTTATGGGTTTATGTTTGTGGAGAGACATGATACTGGGAATATCCCATTATCACGTATTACGCACTGAGTTCACCCCTGTTCTCAATTCGCCTTTGCCTTCGCATTCAGCGCCGGAACATTATCATCCTACATCCAGGCCCTATTAACGGATGGTACCGGTACTGCGCCGAGTGCGCTTTGGTGATCAAAATAATACATAATATCATGATTTAGTTTCAGAGAACGACATCGTTACGCCGCAGTACTGGTGGTAGTACGAATCACACGGTATCGGGGTAGGCTGGCTTATTTTTCTTTTTCGTTACAAAAACCCCTCTTGTGGCATGCCGGGTCGGTTTGGATTGGAACGGCATTTTGGTCTTCAGTGAAGCGAGTAACACATAGCGCTGGCGGTTTGTTTAAAGTTCGTGGCTTGCTTTCCCCAGGATTACTAGAGTTCGGATGTTGCACTGCTTCTCGTGGTGAGTTTTCTTATTTCTCTTGCTTTTTTTCTCTCTCGTCTCAGTTTTCTTTTTTTTTTCATCTTATGAAAACGCCCGGGTAGGTACTCGGGGCAGGTAAAAATTACCGGACAATGCAGGTTTTTGGTTCACCAATGGGCGCGCGTGCTAGGCGTGAACTACTGCAAAAAAAGCCCAGAGACAAAACTTGCATTTTCCGGTACTTTTTGCCTGCCCCGAGTAAGTATTACTCTGTTATGCTTGCTCTAGCCCGACGCCTTAAGGAATAGACGACCTCCCTAGCTATTCGGATACTCCCCTCACTCGGACAGTTAACGTAGAAAAGAAAAGATCAACGTTTTAAGTGGCTTTAGTACCTCTTTCAACCAATCATGATTGGCTGTCTGGGTTTTTTTTTTTTTTTTTTTTTGGGGGGGGGTATCCGAGTGGCTAGGGAGGCCGTCTATCCTGGTGCTGCGACAATCCGGGGAAAGAGTAGTGAGAAAATGAGGGCGGCAATCATCCTCATGTCCCCTGAATACTGCCTTATCAATCTTCATGAAACCAGTACTACATATAGTAAACTGTAAATCTTGTATCATTAAATGCGATTCTGCGCGATTCTGCATGTGCTTGCTGCATTAGGAAGAAGCCTACTTGGTCTGGCCGTTGTTCATGTCAATCTAATGAGGATTGATGTGTTGAGTTCAGTGAGATTCAGTTCATTAATATTACGACGTCAATGATCGACCGTAGCTAGCCCGATCTGAACAGTACTTATCCTGCCGAGTTTGGGACGCCCGTCACGAAGGAGAAGAATGAGGTCGAAGGAGAAACATTTGTCTGGGATATACGCTGTCTTGGAAAAAAAAAAACGCTCGCTTAGCATGGAATCCGAGTACCCCTCCTGTGATATGTACATCGGTCACATGATTCAGGTTCATGATTCTGTCTCAACCTTTCTTGGTAGGCCGTTCAGTGAGAGGAGGTGGCGAAGGCTGAAACTGTCTAACTATTATTATTGTTATGCCTTCGCTTAAACGATGTGCTGGAGCGCGATAGTTCGCATTGAGGGATTTGCACATCATCCGAGTGAGAGGTTGTGAATCAGTGTGATGTTGGAAAATTTGGGAATTGGCGCACGAACCCCGCACCAAGCAATCAAGCACACGTAGCCCTTTGGCTTGTAAAGGGGGATCTTGAGATGCCACATATCGTAACTAAACAGCGTTTTCTACATGACAGGTATGGGAGCTCGATATCCTTAGCTTGCCCACTGACTTATTTGTGGTCGGTCCTGCGCAGAATATTGCTACATATCAATTCAGGTTTGTATCAAAGAAAATAAGATTAATATAGTAGAATTTTCTGAAACAGTACAGGAATGGCGTTTTGCTCGGCATATACCTCCTGAAAGTTGCCTTGATACAAGGCGCACTGCAATCAAATATCAAAAAATGGGCATGTAAATTCACCATCTGGTATATAACGGAATATTTTGAGATTATAATATTTAAGTAGAGATTTTATCTATATGCGGTATTTTTGCTCGATTCAGTTTTCTAAGAATATGATCTACATCACCTCCTTGGTATGGTGCGTACTTTGTGCACCACAGTCAAGTCCGAGCATTTACGTCAATGATAGTAATGTTGGCTTTTCGCATTTTTACATGTCTTTTCGGCCAGTATAGGGAAGTGTGCTCCCATGTTAAAATATCAACAGGGCACGTGTCCTGTATTTCTGTTATGGGGGTAATCTGTTGCTCGTTCACCTGTACTTTCTCTATCTCTGAATGAAAAGAGCGTTCAGGAGGTACATGTAGGCTACATGTAGGTGATACCAGAAAATGATATCTGAAACCCTTGATCATTGCCCACAATCAACGGTAGATACGGCAACATACGAATAAGAATACGGGATCCAGCTTTCTCTCGGAATTCCATCGACCCCATCTATCCCAGCTAAAGTTCACAAGCACAGCCACATGAGCCAAATTCCAATAAAACGCAGCCGTCGAAATCTTAAACCCACGTGTATCCCGATACACCAGTTCTCGGGCCCCATAGGCAAAATTTTAAAGGCCAAACCCAGAAACAGCCCCCATCTTACGGCCCGGATAGAGCATACCGACTGATCGAGAACACCCAATCCTACCCGATCCGCTCCGGTTGTGTGGCCCTTGCACCAATAGACTCAGAGTCTTGTAGCATGATGATATTACTGTCTCACGGTTGACCGGCGGCGGTGAGGTGTCGGCAAATCCTCCTCTCTGAGGTTTTGGAGGGCAAGCAAGACATATAAGATGAGCACTTATACATTAGTATTGTCCATGAGGAACGGTGATTATCAGATCCGGAACCCGGTGTCATCTCACGTTCACACCTCATCTCGATCATACATATCTTATCTCGGATCAATGTGCCCGAACCTTCCGTGCCTGCCGTGACATGCCCCGACTCCCGAGTGAGCTGAGCTGAACGGTGGCCCGAGTCCCTATATCATGATTGTATAGGCTATAACAAGCCATTCTTATTAGACTAACCTAGATGGAATAAAACGCCACAGTTGTTTTAATATCATGATATTACTATCCCAGGATATTATAATTACTAAAAGAGGAAGGGTGGCAGCCGAATATGTGTGTGATCCAGACACAAGCCACAGCTGAAAATACGCCGCCCGAATCAATAGGCAGCTTTAACGGGCTATGGGATACACACCGCGTGTAGACTTGCGCCTAATATGCGCGTAGATTCGACAAGTGCTCTGTAGCACCTGCCATTCACCCGTTCAGTTGCGCGCACGCGGTGCTGCTAGCTACTAGAGAGGTTGTCATTAATATTGCCAACCAGCTTCTGCCGGCAGTGGCCAATCTAATCGAATCGGTAAATCAGACAGCCAACATGGGGTTTACTTTACTCTGCCCTTCATATGGATCTACTATCTACCGGTTGGTGGGGGCGGGGGAGGGGGGGAGGGGGCACTCTACATTCTGATCAGATCTGGCTTAAATTTCGAGGAAATAAGATGAAAAGAGGTGAACATCATCGTTCTAGGCTCGACATTCTCTGCACAAGTGATACAATAGCAATGAATTTTGTCTCCTCCTTTGAGAAGTCTATCGCCCGCGGGGTAGATGGGTATATATTTGCAGTGAAGTGTTGGAGACGTTCGAAAGTGACATCCGCCTCTCTGTATGTGCAATCTCGCTGTCAAAGTTATGAGACTCCTTCTCCTCCCGGTATCGTATGTACCTACATATCCAACCGAGCTAAGGCACGCGGGGTATCAATATCCGTCATTGGCTGAAACATTGCCTTAATTCACGATACGAACGACCTACTAGTTTGTTGATTGGCCAAGCAAGTTATACGTTAAGTAACTATCAATATTGATATTGAACCTATATGGAAAAACCAGGAAGTAACGCGCCGCCGCCCCCCCAGATCTCCACATTCAAGACCCGACAGAATTTTTTCGAGAAACGCATTCCCGCGAAAAGCTCGAAGATCACCAATCCAGGAGGGAGGCACATCCATGGACCTAGACGGTACCTAGGAAGTGCCGCTCTAGCCAACTAGCTAAAGTGACGGTCCCTGGATCCGCCAAAACAAGGAGAAAAAAAATTGAGTTGATGAAAAACAAGATGTTTAACGGTGATGACGATGGATGATCTAAAGGTGGGGAAGCTGGGGGAGAGGGGGGTGGGGGGGGTGGGGGGGAAGAGAAAAAAAAAAGCTTCGAAAAATATTATTGTATCGCGGGTTGTGAGGATGTTGTGGTGTCTATATCTATCTGGATACCCGGGCACAGGATTCACAAGCAGGACAGGGGGATGGAAAGGCCGGTCCGTAGATCCTGTACATGCCCTGGATGGGAAATTTGGTAGATCACCCCCCTGTTCGGTTATGGAGATGGTGGCTATATTGAAGAATGCCTATTTTGTATTTCAGTATAAGCTGATTGAGTCTCAACCCACAGGATCCCAATTCAAACATTAATACCACCTGATCCTAACGTAACAGTCAAGTGAATAATTGTTTCTTTGCATGGCCATGGATAGTAGAAACGTTTGGACGGTGAATCCGCCGGGCCAGTATGCCAGATTACCGTCAAACACTGCATAAAGTACCTACATACAGGCAGTATCAAGGGGAGGGGGGGGGCCTATATGTGCATGCAGGCCTGGCCATATAGGCAGGGCCGATGCTGCAATAACCATAAACCAGCAACAACCCGAACACCAATATTAACAACGAACAACGGCTGCGGCTGTTTGACCAGGTATGTACTGTATGTTTGCATCGACTTGAACGCGCGTCAGGGCATGGGAATCGAAACAGACTCGCTCTCTTCCCTCCTGTTCCTCTCTTGATCCTCCACACATACGCAAAACGGCCATGATCAACGAATATTGTACATAGAGTACATACTTCTCTGCTCAATCAAGCAGGACCCAGCACCAAAAGCTTGAACCTCATCGTATTGCGTCGGTCGCACTTGACGGAAATCACGGGAAATAAGAAGCAAGTCGACGATATAATATGCATTTAGGTCCTGGATACATAGACTGCATACATGTAGTTTCTATCTAACTAGCATCCCAAAGATGGAATAGTGCAAGTGCAGTTAATCAACCTGTTTCCACGCTACCAGAACTGTTTGCGGATCCTTACCCCTGCCAGGAGTCAGCCAATTGCTGCATCTGCGCATGCTGTAACAACGGTACTGACGGGAGACGTCAATTTCTTGTGCAGTGCAGTGGCATGTTATGGAGGAGGTTCTCGGACTACTCATCTCATGAGGTATGTACATCGAGGAGGCCCAGTAACTGGAAGTTTGCCACCATTGAACTGTACCCATATTGTTGATTGTCTACTTAGTAAGTTTGTATTTAACTGTTATATCTATCTAGGAACGGTAATAGTAGTCGGAATTAACGGTTAACTAGCCGTTATTCCTCAGTACTGTTCTTCTTAATTCGACAAAGACATTAACCTTGGCTCCTTTAAACACACACCCCCCCCCCCCATGTCCACCGCCCTATATTCCCCCGCCAATTCCGGAATTTTCGGCTCCCAGTTCCTTGGTAGAATAAGCTTTTTCCCACGCATCCACAGGCTGATTACTCTATTATCGTACCCGCTCCGGGCGGACCTGCGTTGCGGATCCCTTCTTTTTCCGACCGGACGAGAGGAGGAATAGCTTCTACAGCTTCCTTTCTTTCTGGCTACAGTCCAGATTCGGATCAAATATTCCGATGGAATTGCATGCTGGATAGTACAATGGGCCGTGGTTGCGATGTTTCATCGCGCTGTACATGTAGCTTATAGGCCGTGCGGAGAGGTGTGGACCCTGGTCGTCGCAGGTATAACGGGGAGTAGGGAGTACTTACTATATGGCTGATGAGCAGGTTGGTGGTCGAGTGTTTTTTTTTCTCCTGTTAGTAGAGCTCTATAGGAACAGTACTATGTGGGTACTTTGTAGGGTTAATTACATGTAGTTGGACCACCGTCAGAGCTCCACTTACCATCACCCGACTTGGCTCTCTGCAACCTGGCTGATATTTCCCCGCAGGGCCTACATAGTATTCGGAAGAGATCATATGTTTACTCCTTAACTCATCAAGATAGTACTAGTAATCCTCTAGGGCAAGGCTTGGTATAAGAACCGCCCAATCCACCCCCCGAGGGAATTCACCCTCCAAGACAAGACAGCAAGTCTCTCTGCACCCAGTCACTCATTATCACCCGTCTCTCCTTCACGCAAACGCAAAAAATGAAGTACTCCCTCACCCTTGCAGCTCTCACGCTGCCCATCTTTGCGGCCGCCCAGAACGCCGCCTGGGCGCAGTGCGGCGGTCTCACTTGGACCGGATCGACAACCTGCGTGAGCGGATACACTTGCTCCAAGATCAACGACTGTAAGTCTTCTCATGTCCCTGGCTATACATCGATAGTGCGGGTGACTGATGTGGGAATTGTATGTACACAGACTACTACCAATGTGTTACGGGAACGGCGACCACCGCCGCTGCTACCACCACCACCTCTGCGGCCACTTCGACAGGCACTGGAAGTGCTAGCTGCTCGGGAACTTTGACAAAGTTCAAGTACTATGGTGTGAACGAGGTTGATCTCTCCTGCGCATATATCCTCATTGGATAGTGTATATGATGCTGACTGGATATTACTAGGCTGGTGCCGAGTTTGGAAACCAGAATGTCCCCGGTGTGTTGGGCACGGACTACACATGGCCCACGACCGACAGCATCGACTACTTCATGGCGAAGGGGTTCAACACGTTCCGTATCGGGTTCTTGATGGAGCGTCTTACGCCTCCGGCGACAGGTCTCACGGGAGCGTTTGATGCGACCTACTTGGCCAGTCTCAAGACGGTTTGTAGCCTTAGTGTGGGATGTTGGATTTGAAGATTTTGGCTAATGGTTTTGAATTCTAGATCGCAAATTACGTCACTGGAAAGGGAGGATGTAAGTTTATGCTTGTCGGTAATGTGCGGGGAAGTGTGCTGATTTGTGGTAGATGCGGTCCTTGACCCCCACAACTTTGGGCGTTACAACGGCGGTATTATCACCGACTACACCAGCTTCGGAACATGGTGCAAGACCTTGGCTTCCTCGTTCACGTCGAACTCCAAGATCATCTTCGGTCAGTTCTCTCTCTCAGAACATACTTGTGCGGTTGAATGCTAACTCCCGCAGACACAAACAACGAGTACCACGACATGGACCAAACCCTTGTCTTCAACCTCAACCAGGCCTGCATCAACGGTATCCGTGCTGCCGGAGCCACCTCCCAGCTCATCCTCATTGAAGGAAACTCCTACACCGGTGCCTGGACCTGGGTCTCATCCGGCAACGCCGCCAGTCTCCTCTCGTTGACCGACCCCAACAACAACATCGCCTACCAGATGCACCAGTACCTCGACAGCGACGGTTCGGGAACTTCGGCAACATGTGTCAGCAGCACCATTGGCGCTGAGCGTATCGCGGCCGCCACCGCATGGCTCAAGGCAAACAACAAGAAGGGATTCCTTGGTGAGATTGGAGCGGGAAGCAACGACGCGTGCATTGCAGCAGTCAAGGGCGCGCTGTGTGCCATGCAGCAGAGCGGAGTGTGGATCGGAGCACTGTGGTGGGCCGCCGGACCATGGTGGGGCACGTAAGTTTTGATGATTCCTTTCCGGTTTTTAATAGACATAGACTGATGGGGGTGGGATAGCTACTATCAATCGATTGAGCCCCCGAGCGGTCCTGCGATCACTAGGATCTTGCCTGAGGCGTTGGTTCCGTTCTTGTAGAGTTTTTTCACTCCGAGATGGATCAACTGGTAAGTTGGTAATAGTGTAGAATAGTTTTGGGGGGAGGGGAAGCGGAAGGGGGATTTAGGGGAGGGGAGCTCTGAGAGCTTTTTGTATCATTATTAAAAAAGAATTTGTCTATTTGAATATTGAAAATAAGTGAAAATGTGAAATCTGTTGTAGTGAATTAGTACGTGAGACTGCCGGGATATGGTGCTGTGACTGGATTTTTTCAGAGAGGTTGAAGAGGATCGGATTGATTGTGCATATTTTTGTTACCAGTGGAGGCGATTTGATCGGAGGGTGGAGGTATATATGATTAGAGTCGTTTTGAAGGGGAAGCAATTAACTGATGTTGTCGACGGCAGATTTGAAGCATAGAGCGAGTACATAGTGTGGCGTGCCAAGGACGGACGGACGAGTGACTGCTTGTGACCGTACGTACTCGAGTGATCAACGCATATTAAAGAGAAAAGATGCAATTGATCCGTGTAGTACTGCTTGTGTGCGATAAGAATCAAGAGCCCTCGTCCTTTCGCCTAGTTTTTCTTAGTATCGACGTCTGTCACAGCTAGCCCTCTGTGAGTTCCCTATCATCATGACGGGTATGTATGTGCTTCCAGAGAGACCCTTTAGTCCGCCCCCATCCAGGTCTTGAGTAGGCTGGCCAGTCTATTGAAGAGGGAGTAGCATACTAGCTGGTGATATTTGTGCTCACTCTGAAGCAGACCGCCCGGAATAAGTGGAGGGGAGCAATCAACTAAGAGGACCCCCGGGTGCTGCATTTTGAGATTTTATCGTTCTAGATCTGTGTGAACATCATTGCGAGTTTCGGACCAATCATGTCATCTATAACCTCATTAATTGATTACTGTACTCTCTCAAAGCCGTGGATATCTCGACATGAAACACAATCTTTGCCATACACATCTCTTTATCAGTGAAGTAAACCCATTATCGAATCCCTCAATATTAAAATACATAAGCCAACTAATCTACAGTACGAAACAAAAACCTATCACCGCATTCTAATGTATATATATAATTACAATAAATATCTATCAAATCCTTCATGCCACCTTGCCCTTCTCGCCCACCCCAAAATCCCCTGGAAACTCCACGCTGCCAACCAGGCCCTCTACACCACCCACTAACCTCCCCAGATCTGCCACCAAGATGCTCACCGCCACCTGCAACACAGCAAAAGCAATATACCCTTCCTCACCACACCTCTCGATGCCCAAGATCTCCGCATCCCGCTCCTCCAGCGCCTTCGAGAGCCCATAAGGCCCCGGCACCACCACCGCCGGCGGCAGTGGCCGCCCCCCCGCAAGACTCGTCGACAACAAACACAGCAGCCCCGTCACCTGCGGCGACCGCGTCTCCATCGTCTTAAGCAGCGCCGACAAATCCCTGACCCACGCCTGACTGCTGTGCGAGAAGCTGCGCGACGCAAACGCAATGATGGACAAATACGTGCTGATGCTGGCACAGACGTCGATCAGATGGTCGTAGTGCGCCTTTGGCCACGCCCCGCGCAGCGACGGCTCAAACACCGTCATGGCGCTGTTGCGCCGCAGCGAGTCGAGCGCGATGATGGACGAGGTCATGAGCTTTGCGCGGCGCTTCTCGAAGACGGCGCCGTGGCTGTACCGGTCGGTCTCGTCGCCGGCGGTGCCGTCGATGCGCATGCGCACGAGGGAGATTGTGTTGCTGTAGCTCTGAGCGAGGAGGTAGAGCTCTGCGGCGACGTCGCTGCGGATGCGGGAGCGGGTGGAGGTGGGGTAGGGGAAGACGGTGAAGAAGAAGGCGACGCCGATGCCGGCGAGGGTCACGAGGAGGCGGTACCAGCCGAGGTCGTTGATGCCGAGGACGGGCTGGCCGGAGGCTTCGGAGGCGGGGATGCCGACGACGCGGACTTGGAGCTCGTAGCCGATGATCATGATTTGGGTGATCATGGCGGTGAAGACGGATTGAATTGTCTGCGGGATCTTGATGATGAAGTAGAATTCTGGGACTGTCAATGATTGCACGGACGGGTTTTGGCGGCAAGTATATATGAAGAATGGAAAACTTACGGATTGCAACAAAGAACCACAGTAAGACGATCACACCTCTGTGGTAATGGGTTAGAATGATATCTGAAGGGCGGTGGAAAGAAGACCTACGCAGTGTTTCCATCGACGATATACCAATTGACAAAGGCGAATATCACAGCCATGACAGTTCCAACGATCCTCCCAATGAATCCAACTAACTACACCAAGAAATCAGCATGATTCCAAAGCCCGTAAATCTGGCAGAAGACTCACTGAAGCACCACTCGTCGGGCTCATCCCGATGGCCACCATAATCATAGCCCACATGAGTCTCTTCTCGTTGAAGAACACATAACTCGACTCGAAGAATCCCGGTGCCGCCACAACCATTGTTGCGCACGCAACTCTGATGCCAAATGAGCTCTCGTCGCTCCTGAACAGCTCTGCACAGCGTGAAAGAACATCACCAACCCTCTGTAGCCCGCTCGCCGCCGGAAGATGCTCTGGGTCCAGGACGGGTCCAATCCCTGGAGCTTTGCATCTACTGCCACCGCCAACGTCACCAACATCGACAACGTCGTCCCCACCCCCATCCGCACTCAAGAGCCACTTCTTCACCCTGCGAAGAGAAGGATATACAAACCGCCGGCGGTCGAGGATGCCGGATGCCTTTGTCGCCTCCGCAAAACGGGCAAGCGACAGGAGAGACTCGGAAGCAGAGCGGAGAAGATGCTCCATAAACAGCACCAGGTACAGCATACTCTTCGCATCATCATCAAGCATAGTCTGCGCCTTCCTCGTCATATCACCCACATCCACCGGTACCTTCGCCTTGAAATGGCTCTTGATCTCGTCTGTCCTTGTCGCATAGAACGTCTCCACTCTCTCTTGTAAAACATCGCAAAACCCAATTTGTCCTGCAACCTTAACTGCCCCCTCTTCAACATCCGTGGCTTTCTTGTCCTGCTTCCTTCCTCCGAGCTCGAGAAGAATCATTGTGTGCTCCACAGCCTCCTCGCAAAGACCTCCTATAACGCCATACGGCTCCCGCAGTACCCGCATCACTTCCGAAAATTGCTCCTTGCCGTGACACTCTCCGTCCTCGTTCGCGGCGGCGTGCGCTACCCCGCGGTCAAAGATGTCGAGGATGGCGGTCATGCCTTGGAGCGGGAGGACGGTGGCTTGCAGGTGCTTGTGGGTTGCGCGTAGGTCCCTGGTGGTGTAGTGGCCGATGGCTGTCTCGCGCTTTGCCATTGGAAGGTCGATGGTGAGCTTCGCGAAAAGGTCCGAGTGCGTCTTTTGGGCGACGGAGAGTGGGGGAGGGGCGGACTTGTCGGTGCTGGGCTTGTGGGTGTCATAGGATGAGATGTCTTCGTACTGCTGCATGAATGTTTTCTGTTTGTGGTATGTCAGTCGTTGGCGCTACTTTCTTCGTACCTAGATATCATTGACACCTGATGAGGGGAACTACGGACCTGCTCCTTCAGCAACTTTTTACACCCCTCGAGATAGCCACCTACACCTCTCCACCAAACCATCCGACAGTTGACTGGGATGACCACCAGGCCAACGACAAGACTGAGCGCAAAGCCCGTCATAAACGCCTTGAGTAGCAGTACCACGATACTGATTGCGCGCGGCATCGTGAGTAGTGGCCCGTATGTGAACACGACACTTATAAAGATGGTGTAGAGGATCACCGGTATCGACAGCGCCGGAAACTTGGCGCGGAACACATTGACGAGCCAGATGTTTGCAAAGAGCCATGCTGCGGAGACGGCAGCTGCGGAGCCGTTGAATGCGGAGGTGGGGGATGAGGGGTTATGGCTGCGTGCGATTGTGGCGGTCCAGAGGCCGAAGAGAGCCGTTGCGGAACCGAGGCAGACGGCGATCTGGAGAGCTCTTATGTTAGTACTAGGGTATTATGTAGGTTTGAGAAGGAGGGCAGGAAGTGGGAGCGTACGGAGTTCTGGATCGTGAGTTGGACGAGCTTTGCGCGTGGCAGGATGCACATGGACAGACTGGCGACGATGGTGACGAGGTAGCCCATTGTGCCATAGGTGGCCGCAATGGTGGAGTTCTGGTACATTGCGGTGAAGATAGTGGGCGGGAGGGCGCCTCTGTGTTGATCAGGCAGTCAATATTTCGCTCTCTCTCTGGAATTGGGATTCGAATTGGAATCGAGTAAACACAAAACATACTTCGCCATCATCATCAGCGTCCCAGCATCGAGTCCTAGCTTCCCCCATAGTGTCGCGAACTTTCCCGCCGACTTCTTCTCTTCATGGACGGTGCTGGCGTCGGCCACCGTCGGGTCCTCTGAGTCTGCAGAAGACATGGTGATTAGTCTAACGTGGTACTTGCTTAAAAAGATAAGCTTAAACTCCCCGATTGCTGTTTGTTGATTATAATTCTAGTAGCGGCACAGAACTGGGGAGGTGGGGGGGGATCAGCTATTCTTTATACAAATACTCCAACAAATAGCTACTGAATCCCATCCAGGTGTGCTCTGCAGGCCTAAACCCAAAACCCCATCGGATTCCGACATCGAGTGTCTCACGGAATCCGTCACTCGGAACCCGTAGGCTAGCTACCTAGCAGCTTTGCGTTGGGCTGGGTGATCCTGATGCAAGAGTGCCGGGCGTTGTAGCTAATAAGGAGAGTAGCAGTGGCTTGGCGTGCAGGATTACTGATCGCAGCACCGGAGAGACTGGAGGATTTGGGGGTACTCTACTGGTGCTGCGTAATGCTTAATGGTAGGTAGCTTATGCTGCCTATAGCACTCAAAAACCTTCTTTCCACATCTTGAGCTGAGCTCAGTGGTACTACTTTACATATATCGAGTGGTTCGTGTACCCGAGCGACAAAGGGAGGGGGGTGTAGGAGAGTTGATGTTTCAATTGACGGAATAAGCACGCGGGTCTGAGGGCTAGAACTGCTGCTAGGACAGGTCTTATGAAATGTATTGATTAAAAATCCCAAGACTTGCTAGCTATGTAGGTGGGCGGGGTTAGGGTTGTTGCTCCTTGCCTTGCTTGTAGTTGGGCTTGAAGGATACAGGAGAGTCTCGTCAATTTCAATAGGTAGGTTCTGGTTTTTGGGCCTTGACTTGTGATGCTGATGAATAAGCCTATTGGGGACCCGGGGCAGGTATAGGTGTTCTTTCTATTGACAATAGCATCTGACTACATGTACATAGCACTCGTTAATTGCAGGTGAAAACATCGACTCTTATTGGCCTCGGCTGGTGTCCGAATCATGGCATATACTCGCATACATACAAACACAACACGGGGGTCAAGTGCTTTATCTGATAATTATATAACTGTGGCTAGTATAGATTCGAGCGATAGGTAGCCCTCAAAGAAATACAGTCTCCATTCGATAGATCAGGCCATATATTGCAGTCGAAGCATACCTAAGCAGGAATACATGCAGTTGGGCCGAACGGCAGGCGTCGTACGTCTTGGATATAAAACGGACGCGTATATTTCCCTCACCATCTCGGAATCTTGTTCGTGGTGGAGATTGATATATGCGGGAAGTCAACTGGCCGCTGAGGAATTGCTCAAAAGGCCAGGAACCCGAAACCCGCGCTTTGAGGCCGGCCGAGGAAGGCTTCTAGCGGCGGGACGTTATTGTAGGTGGGGGCCGTGGTTCCCCTTCTATGGAAGGTCCTGTGGTTAGGTATATATCATTGAAGTGCCTTTTGAGGTATAGATTCAATGCACAGCCTGGTCGTGCTATGAAAGGGCTGTGTTATAACTATATACACATACTTATCTATTGTCTAAGTTGAGGATCGGTTGCGCTGCTGTCACCCGCAATACTTATTCATCACGAAATGAACACTGGAAATATTTAAAGCTAATTGAATTAAATCAAAACAAGGCAATGTTATCAAGACGATATGATATGATCAAGGTTTAGATTATCATTAACTGCATCGACCAAGAACCAAGACAATCTAGTTACAAGATACAAACGAAAATGTCTATAAAAAGAGCGTAATTGGACCCACTCAATGGGCCAAGCCATTTCTACACCCATATATCACTTCATGAAATTACATCGGAAAACCTCACGCCTACTGCCTCCACCCCTCAGTACGACCTCCTATACCCGTCCAGCGGTAGCACATACCCCGGCGGCGGCCCCGGCGGCCTCAACGGCGGCTGAATCACCAGTCCTGGTGGACTGGGCGGACTCTGCGGACTCTGCGGACTCGGTGGACTCTGAGGGCTCGGGGGGCTCGGCGGCACCTCATACACCGGGCCCGGCATCGGCGGCACCTGTACCTCGATCGCCGGCCCAGGCGCCGGCGGCCGTATCGGTACTTCCATCACAGGGGGTGCGCCGCCTGAGTTGTAGGGACTCTGGTATCCGAATGGCGGGCCGGGGGACATCAGCGGCGGAGGCAGCTGCGGGGCTTCGGGGTTGTATGGGACGGAGAGAATGGGAGAGTCGGGGGGGCTGTCGGATCGGTGTTTGCGCCAGAGGAAGAATAGGAGCATGCCCATGAGTGCTGCGCCGAAGATACTCCCGACGGCGACACCGCCGATGGCCCCACGGGAGAGGTTGTCGGGTGTGGGAGGGAAGAGAGCGGGGGTGCCGGTTGGGGTGGGGGTCGCGGTTGGAGTTGGGGTTTGTGTGGGGGTTGGGGTGGAGGTGGAGGTGGGACGGGTGGTGTAGATGAAGGTGGGAGGGGCGGGGAGGAGCTGGAAGAGCTGGAGGATGATGGGGAGGACCTGGAGGAAGAAGAGGAAGGAGTAGGAGGAGAAGAAGAAGAAGAAGAAGTAGAAGAAGAAGAAAAAGAAGAAGTAGAAGAAGAAGAAGAAGAAGAAGAAGAAGAAGAAGAAGAGCGGGTGAGTGAAAGAGTTGAAGATGTTATTGGACTGCCGTAGATTATTGACGAGTAATCAGAGGAAGAAGACAAATCGAAAGTGGAAGTGTAATATACAGGCACAGAATAGGTTGTGGGCAAAAAGCTGAACGATGAGGAAGAAGAAATTAAGTTGCCAGAGCTGGAAGAGCTATCATATATTGGCAAGCCGGTGGTGGTGGAGGTTAACGATGAGATAATTGAGGGTGTAGGAGTAGGACCTTGAGAGATGGGATAACTGGGTGACTCGATGCAGCCCGAAGAAGGCAATTCTGTACTGGGGGAATATGTTGGTTTGGAAATCACACTGGATGATGGGAAAGTGATATAAATGAGGGAAGATGCCGCAGAAGATGCAATCGTTGATGAGATTGAAGGGACATAGGTTAAGCAGTCTGAGGTATAAAGAGAGCTGCTCGTCGAGGGGAAGGTAGATGAGTATGTTGAAGGAGGAGGAGGGGGTGGGGGAGGGAGGAAAGAAGGATATGAATTGGCTGTGCAAGAACAGGTCGCGGCAGCATCTTTTGTAGCTGTTGTCGTTGTAGTGACTGTGACAGTTACAGTGACGGGTGGGGGACTATTTACAGTGCTGAAAGTTAATAAACATCATGGAATTAAAAAAATAGATAAAACAGTTGATCTCTTACCAGTAGAGGCACCAGTCGCTCTCCGCCCCATGTTTGTAGCAAGGCCTAGCCTCGGATCCCATAATGCCTAAACAACGGATTTGAAGACTTAGTATCATATCAATGAATTTAGATTGAAGCTCAAATGCTAATGAAATATGGGCACAGGGCTTTCCGGGTGTGATTCCAGACGATTTAAACAATCCAGGACCTTTGAACATGTGAAGATAATCTACATGTATCATCGATGTGGCAAAAGAAATCTCAACGAGAGATGGGCAACTTACAGATGAGATCGATGAGTCCGCAGCAATGATCTTCGACTCTCCAATTGATCAAAGGATGATATTTCAGCGTCGATGGCTGTGGGAAGGACCTGCACTTAAGAGCGATGGTGTATCTGTCAGGGAGAGACTGCGACGTTGACTGACTTGGCCGAAAAATTCTTTCAAGCAATAGAGAATAGACGCACGATATATAAATCCGTACCTGAATCCAAAGTGGCCCAGTGCCCTGACAGCTACCCTAGTAAACCTTGCATTCGAGTTACCAGGTTTGAAAGGTAAGATAGGTGGACCATGAGCTCAGGGTATGCTCCTCCGGAACTCGTTTGACGAATCGGATAGAAACAGTCGAACGAGGTTGTATGATACGCATGGTGCTGGCAGGAAAAAAAAAAAAAAAAGGATGAATCCTTCAGCTCCGAGATTGACCTTGTCAAGAGTTCCTACTGGATATTGTCTAGAGTGTTGTAAGGGCATAAGCACAAACAGGTAGTCTGGTAGGCACTCAACGGATTTATACAACTAGCGATAATAAACTTTGACTTAGTTTGTTCCTTGCAAGGCCTAGGAATATCCATGAGATAGAGAGATCCCAACAAGGTGGATCTGACAGGCCCGAACAACGCCAAATTTATATCTCAAGATGAGAACGGCCGGTATGTTTCAACCGAAAGTCAATACTGAAATATCCTCGAGATCCTGTAATGATACATGACGTCCTGCTCCCACGTGTACGTACATACATACATGCAACTTTGAGGCTCCTGGCCAGAGATGTAACCGTCCTCTATGACAATGTCAATGTATCCAACCACGTATTTGAGTGCTGCACCGGTCAGGTTAGAGGTTCTGGGGTGACAAGGGACTGCAAGTTTCACAACTCGAAGATGACTAGTATCCTGGGAAGAACGCCCAGCCGCCATTCTATTGGCTGCCTTATCAAGGCGCGCCTGGTCAATCAGATGGATCCTTTCCTACACACAATCAACCACCAATCTCATAGCAAAGACCAGCGGCTCATGCAGAGTTAACATGTCATTACAAAAATCAATACCAGACCCGAGGTCTTCAATTATGCCAGTTGGCAGAGCAGAACCCCTTACATGTTTCGTGAGCAATTTGTAGCTTAATTACATTCATCTTGATGGGTCGACGTCAAGTACCAGAAGTCACCAAGATAAAACCCCACTCCACCTGATCAGCGGAGAAAAAAAAGAAGAAGCGGAATGGAAAACAAGGCTCCTAGCCTGTTCAATACGTAGAGACGTACAGAAGAACTCCTGCGCTGTATTCCAAGCGAGGCGCTCTCGGATGACAAAAAGCTTGAGACAAACTAGAGTAAAGTACATGAGCTATCCCATAAACCGTCGATTGCTGATACCCCTCTTGGGAGACCGAAAGCCACAACACAATTGGGTAAGAGATCAGCAAAGACTACAAGACCCATTTGTTACCACTCGGAGGAAAGCGCTATCTAGATCTAGAGAGTACCGCAAGATTTGGAGCCATCCTTCTTCCCCTCTTCGTCCTTGGTTTTTGAAACCAACCTCCACTTTCCTACGTGGCAACCGTCCCCACACACCAAAACTCACCCCCCATCATGGCTTCAATGCAATATTTGGACCCTCAGGGCCGACTACTCCGCCAAATAGACTCGCTGGTTTTAGAAGCCTCAGGTCTATACCACCTCGACGCCGACTTGGGTAACACCTCGTTAAGCGCCGATACAGAAAACACCCTGAGCGGCATCGTCCTCAAAGATCTGCATACAAGCAGATTCAACAAGCCGCTAATCCTACTCCTACTGACAAGCCTCGGGCAACAAGCCAAACTCGCCACCGCAGTCTCCAAAATAGGAGACGAACTCGCCCTCTTGAGAAAGGAGATCACGGCCCCCAAAGCTGCGCCTCCCACCTCAAACCCCCGCATCATCCAGAAGTTGGACGCCCTAATCGGCAAAGCCAACACACCCACACCAACCCCCCAGGCCCCCCACAGGCCTACCCCGCCCGCCAAGCCTGCCCTACCAAGGGCAACCCCCACACACGCTCAGGTGGTTCGCTCCGCCCCCAACCCACCCAATACCCCCAGCAAGAAGACTGCCAAAACAGCCCAGGCATCGGCCCCAGGATCCTCCCCGAAGGAGAAGGCCCTACCAGCAGCCCACCGCCGCTTCTTTGCTACAAGGATAACCCCTAGCCCCATCACCGACGCCGAAAAGCTATCGGCAACCCTCCCTCGCCTCTTCGGCCTAGCTCTGGCCCGAAACAACCAAACCGCTCCGGTGACTTCCCTCTCCGTCACTATCAACCCCAGAGGCACCGTCTCTGTCACAGCCCCCCCTACCGTCCCATCAACGGTCTACGCACCCTTCTTCGAGGCCCTCACCACCATCCTCAACGTAGAGGTGGCCACCCCCGAGAACCCCTTCACTACCTTTCGCCCCGCCCCCACCAACGTCGACCTCGCCATCCATGGCGTCCCCCTTTACGAACTCCCCAACCAGGAGTGCCTTGAGGAGATTCTGCCCTCCGCTCTGAGGCTCGCCGTTGGGATCACCCCTGCCGCCGTCCGGTTCCCAAACACGGACGAATCCTCCCGCTGCGCCAAGGCCACCACCTCAGTCGTCGTCTCTGTAACGGCAGATGAGGCAGCGACCATTGGCACTACTATCCGTCTCTTCTCCCGCCCCAGACGCTGCAACGTCATGGGGCGAGCGTCCACCTCCACTCAATGCAGGAATTGCTGCAAACTCGGTCACGCCACCCAAGGATGCAGGTCCCCCACCGCCTGCCCCCTGTGCACCCTCCCCCACAAACTTCAGGATCACCGCTGCTCAGTCCCCTCATGCAAAGGGGCATCAGCGCCCCTTGAAAACTGCTGCGAAATCTCCCCCGCCAAGTGCGTCAACTGCAGCGGGGCCCACCGCTCCTTCACCCCCTCCTGCCCTAGCAGGAAACCCACCACCACCGCCAACCCCCCCTCAACCCACACCGCTATGGACATCTCACAAGAAGACGTAGCGCCCGCACCTCTCCGCAACTTTCTTGGGATGCCAATTACGGCCCCCCTCAACCCTCCCCTCTCCTCCCAACCCAGCCTCCGCTAAGAGGCTCATATCTCCGTCCTCCCCCCACTTTTCTTGACACCGGCTCTTCCTCACGGGGAGGAACTCCCTTTCGATATTACACTGCCTTCGACTCGGGACCCTGAACTATCACGGGCGGTACGGCTGTTTTTCGCCATTTTGTTACTCTCTTCTCTCCTTCTTTTCCTTTTGTCGACTTGTAGTGGGGGGGGTCTCCTCGGGCAGACCGGGCGGTCAGTATAGGGGATAGGTGTTGTTCACGCCATAGCTTAGGCTCCATGCGATATTCTTGTACCTAGAAATAAATGAAACTATGATCTAAAAAAAAAAAAAAACCGCAAGATTTGGAGCGTTGCACCCGTGCGTTAGAGAAGATCCTGGTATGTAAAAAGCACCAATTTTTGCTTGAACTGTGAGAGAAACTTACCAGGATCTTATTTAACACCCGGGTGCAACGCTCCAACTTTTGCGGTATGTAACTACCCCGCTTGGATGCGCATATTTACTCTAGCGCAATCTAAAGAATAATATTATATATATTCACTGCTGTTATAACAACACCATCCTTCAATCGCAAATTTGTCTAAGATCACATTGGGTTCGAACTTCTAGTTGCCTCTATCTAAGCAGAAGCTGGGGAAAGGCAAAGATGCCCAATTTCATAGATCCACTGCGTTCATTTAAGCGGAGGGCCAAAAGTTTGTTATCCTTGCGTTCTAACCAATCATCCACACTCGATATCCCAACTGCAAGCGAGCGTCCAAGATCAGCTGTTCCTCCAGGGACTACTAATACTACTACTAGTAATACTACCTTACAGAGTTCAACTTCTCCTATACAGCAAACCCCCAGCGCACCCGTTATCACTCCCCAGCCTACGTTACAAGAACCACTGGGCTCAACGGATCCTGTCCAGAGAGTCTCCGGTGCATCTGTCGTATCCCTAGTCACGCCCCATTCTGATCCCTCTTTCTTAACTCGCCCAAATCCTTCAAGCCAGCCAACACCATCTTCGACAGCGTCCCAAGAAGAGCTTGTCAGTACTCTGTGGAATGAGGCTGTAGAAAATTGAGCGCAGAGGATCGAGAATATTTCAAGACATCTGGCAATCACAAACTCTGCACGCTGGAGCGATTTATTGAAGAAACCAAGGCGAAAAGAGACGAGTTTAAAAAGAAGCAATGGAAATGCACTAGCTATGCCGATAACATCTTACTTCAGCTGGATAAACTTGCAAAAGTCGGCGATGTCTTGGTGAAGCAGAGTCCCAGCATTGTGGCTATGCCATGGACTGGTTTTCGATTCCTTTTGCAGGCAAGCGATCATAGACTTTCAAATAAGTACCCGAGTGGTGGACTCGTTTTCTCTTGTAGGTCCCTTTGAATAATATCGAGATTCTCGAGAACATTCTGCTTGCCCTTGAATATATCACGCATACACTAAGTCGGTGTGCTATCTATGAACGTCTCTACCTGAAGCCTTCAAATCAGACACTTTCCGCGCGCAACCTTCGAGCCGCGCTACCAGATCTATACGCTGCAATTTTGACTTATCTATCTGAGTCAAAGAAACATTTCACCCAAAACCTTGCTGGTACTTTAAGTTCCTTGAGAATCAATATTCCCGATACTGACTACATATGTGTGATAAAGTGTGGGCTTTGCACAGTACATGGGATCCATATATATCAAGATTCAAGCCACTCATCGAAAGGATCAAGGAGGGGGAGGCAACCGTGGAATACAATGTCAATGCGGCGAGAGACCAAGGTACGATCGATATAACTCGCTAATTTTTTCTCGGATGACATTTACTAATGAGCATTTAACCCAACTTTAGGCCAAGTTACCATGAACGAGAAAAATGATCTTGGTGAGAAAACCTCAATGCGAGTTGATTAGCTAGGACGAATTTCAACTTACTTGATCTTTGTAGTTCAACAACAGGAAATGGAAAAACTACAAGAGATCCTTCAAGCAATGAAAATGCCACAGATAAAACAGGAGTTAGAAGATATGCGAAGGTGTATCGAAGAAAATTCAAAGGGTATTAAAAACTTCTTTTAGTTGGTTTAATAATGATGTTATAAGGCCGACGAGCTCATATTTTAGTAGATGCCGAACGCCAAGATATTTTGAAGTGGTTGTCGGAAGTGTACTTTGAGGATCACCATAATCTCATTAAGTCGAACCGCCACCCGGGCAGCGGCGAGTGGCTTTTCAAAAAGGGGGGAGTTTATCAGTTGGAAAGAGTGCACAGAGAGTTCTATTCTTTGGTTGCACGGTTTCCGTAAGTCCTTCTGATCGTTTACACATATGCATGTGTACACATCTTGACTGCTTTACTCCCCTTATAATTGGTGCTACCGTACTGCCGTAATGCTCACAGCCATCTCTACCCTTATGCTAACGAATATTCACAGCTGGTGCTGGTAAGACGAACTTAGTGTAAGTTTTCCAGATGCCTTTCGACTTACTCTGTAGTAAGAGGGTTACTTATCCCTTCGTTCTTCGCATAGGTCGGCAGTCATTGATCAATTCATTGCCACCCGACGGAAAATGGAAGCTGTTGCTCACTTCTACTGCAAATATGACCAAGATCCGTCGCAAATTATGAGGGCAATCGTCAAACAGCTATCGTCCGTAGAGCCCGGTTCAAAGCAGTCTCAGCCAGTCAAAAACATCTACAAAAAGCGCAAGGATGGCGGATTTACCTCTGGTCCTTTAACCATGGCAGAGAGTGAGAGTCTATTGATCGAAATGACAGCAAATTATGAATCAACATTCATCTGTATCGATGCACTGGATGAATGCGATAAAATACACGTGGAGATCTGTTAGATGCGCTACAAAGAATTTTTAAATAAATCGACTTGTCCTATCAAGATCTTCGTCGCTAGCCGGGATGACCAAGATATCGAGCTCCACCTCGATGGTCTGCCCAATGTTTATATACGACCAATAGATAACCATACAGATATCGATCGCTTCATAAGGGATGAAATAGATAGATTAGTGGATCGAAAAAAGATGATGTATGGTTTTTATGATCCTAAGCTCAAAACTACTATCGTAGAGAATATCATCAGCCACGCAGGCGGAATGTAATATACCAAGCTTGCCGGTTTAGAAGACTCGTGCTGACATGTTGGACTTAGGTTCCTCTGGGCCAGTTTGTAGATCCAAAGTTTGTGCCGCGAAAAAACGAAATCCGACCTCGAAAAGGCAATGGTCGAGATACCGGCAGGGCTAGACCAGACATTTAATGCGATCCTTCACAGGATTGACGCACAATTGGAGAGAAGTAGAACACGAGCAAGGAAGGCGTTAATGCTCATCCACGGTGCCCAAAGACCATTATCGTCAAAAGAGTTAATCCAAGCCCTTGATATGGATTCTAGAGGCGAAATTAGAGCTGGCGGTCTCACAACGGATACTATACTGGATGAATGCCAGAATTTTGTTGTCCTTGATCGGAAACTTGACGTTTTCCGCTTTGCCCACTTATCCGTCAACGATTTCGTAAAAGAGTTGTTCTTCGAGGGCGTCGCACATGCAAACATGGCAGAGATTTGCCTCGAATCTCTTCTTTGGCAGAAATGGCAGGTGGCACTTGTAAAATATGCTCTCCGGTATTGGGATGTTCATATCCGATCATCAAACACAAACAATCGAGAATATAGCTTGAAACTAATAAAGCTACAGAAAGACCTTTTACAACCAGGCAAAGACTCTGGTCATTTGTTGACTCATTGGCCAGTTTTAATTGCCACTTTGTCGGATATCGCCAAGCTTTCCTAGACCAGGAGATAGATACACCATGGGATGTCGCCTGCAGATACGGGCTGATCGATATGTATCTGCATTTTCTAGACCTGATAAGAAGCTCAAGCACTTTTAAAACAGATATTGAGCGTGGATTGTGCTTCGCGGCAGCTTTCGGTCACGAAAATATATCTCAACGACTTCTGATGATGCTCAACTTAGATGTCAACACAGATGGCGGGCTACCTGGGGGTAATAAACCACTCGGTTACACAACCTGGTATGGGCACGAGGCGATATTCAAAATGCTGTTAGCGAAGGAGGAGATCGATGTCAACTCCAAAAGTAGTGCTGGAGATACCGCACTCATTTTGACAGCAAAAGAAGGGCACGAGACAATTGCCAAGATGCTTCTCGAGAGGCAGGACATCGATGTCAACTGCAAAGGTGATTAAGGATATACCGCACTCATTTTGGCAGTAGAAGGAGAGCACGAGACGATTGTCAAAATGCTACTCGAGAGGGAAGACATCGATGTCAACTGCCAAAATGGTAGTGGGAATACCGCACTCATGTTGGTAGCTTGGTATGGGCACGGGGCGATTTTCAAGATGCTACTCGAGAGGGGGGACATCGATGTCAACTGCAAAGATGGTGATGGTGATACAGCCCTAAGCCGTGCGATATGAAATAGGCAAGCAAAAATCATAAGACTGTTACTTGCTAAGAACGACCTTATCATAGATGAGGACATCGATTTCGAATCGTCTACTGATTTGTCCCAATCAATAAAAGATGAGTTAGCTGCGAGGTGAATCCTCTGAGAAAATAATTCGCAGTGAAATAGAACTGACGTTCGCCCGACTAGAAGGTCCAATACAGCGAAGGGGTTCAAGGCAGTCGGCGTGGATTGCGTTCCGTCAGAGGGATCAGCTTTTTTGGTTGGGGAGACAGAAATGTAGGCACAGGGGAATGCCGGGTAAGCTGGTGTGCAGTGGATCTTGTGAGATGTTTTAAATTCGACACATAATACTGCGATGGAAGTAGTATTGCGGCCAAATCTTGACGGTTATTTGATGAAATTGTAGAGTATAGTAACCAATCTGAAGGTGCTTATGCATGATCATATATAAGGATTAACTAAACATCAACGCGAGAGTTTTCGGAGGTGAGAAGTGTGCCTTACAGTTGCAAGAAATCTTCCCTCAATATTGTAAATGTATAATTAATTTTCCAAGCGGCCGGATCCGTAGAAATCGATATTGTGATGTGATCGAGCTGCATGTAGGACTGGTGCATACATGGACTGAAGCCCGTTTTGAATAGTACCGGGGGTCAACCATAAATACCGAGAATCTGATAAGATAAACACACATATTTCACAGCAAGATTCCCTTATCAGATTCTTCGTATTTACCTTTAACGCCTGGTACAGGGTGTGATAAAGATGACTGAACTAATGATGGTTGAAGGGTGCGGTCACGTCCCTGTTAAGTACAAGCTGGATGCGTACGAGCCCCCTTTCCTACACTAGTGACTTGAGCATTACTTACTCCAACAGCCCGAAATACTCATGTAGCTATCGAGGCAAAACTAATTTCACAGCTTCCGCCTCAAAGCGTCAGCCATGCGCCAACAAAGCCCATTTACTTCTGTTCGTAAATAGATCAAGTGTCGAGGACTCTATTCCCAGACTCAAAATCTAAAAAAAATGCAATATGAGGGTGTTGCATATACCGAGTGATAATTTATGGTTACGAATCTTGCTTTTTGTTTTTTTGTTTAATTCATTACGAATCTTGCTGGCCATGGAAAGATTTCAGTTACATTAGAAGTATGATACCATCGTAACCTAATGATGTGCTAGACCACTTTCCCGACTTTACGATTATATTAAGACCTGTATCTGCTCACGTGCAGATTGCCCCTTACTCTAGACGGCCGACCCAGATGAGAACGGTACCGGTAGAAATGACCCGCGCATACGATTGCTACAAATAAGCTTCTCCAAGAATTTCGGCCTTGGTCCGGATAGCTTGATTTTTACCATTCTATCTTAAACTAGCTAACCGTCTAATCAAGGGATTGTTTCATCGCCAACTGAAATTAATATTATTTTCACATGCGTCAGCTAAGTACCTCCGATACCTATTCTTTAGTAGAGTTTAAGGAGTAATACCTGGTATATAATGATTCTTACCTCGCGACCTGACTAAAAAAAAAAAAAATGACCAAAGAAAGTACGTGATTGCCCGTGGATTGAGACGTCGTTGTTCAGCGATTAGCTAGAGCTTTAAACTTGCTCACCCTACCCTACTATACACTCATTTACCAACTGCCATCTATTAACTGCCTAGATATTGAAGGATATATTGAAGTCTTATTTGGCTGGGTTAATATCTCGGCTCAGTTGATCAGTTTGATGCATGGCCGAAGCATGCATGATACATGCCAAGAAACAGTAACCGTAGCGATAAAGGGTTTAGATGGCTTGCAGCTATAGAAAGGTCTAGGACTCTTGGTCTTCGAATTCAGTCCCGGGTATATATGGGTTTATAATTTACCAGCAAACAAATATGGGAGTGAGGCTAAGCTTGAAGTATGGTGAATAATATTTGAGCATTGAGTGCTACTCAATATGTTGTAAAGCCAATTCTATTGAACTTTTAATTTGATAGGAAACGGGCCGCCAGGGGAGGTGACAGTATTTTTAGATTGATTTAAAGTGTAGGGGCTCCGAGCTCACGAGTCAGATCAGGGGCTTATATAATTAGATGTACAGGTATCTACATGTACGCACATGACTCCTGCATGGAGAGAAATCTCTCCCTGGGTTTAACTTATTTTTTTATTGGATGACGCACAAGATGTAGGCACGTACATACATGTACATGTAGTAGTACTGAATACTAGTAGTGTAGCTGTTACCAATAGTATGGGAATGTAGAACACCAATCCATTGCAAGCTATCGAAGTTCAAAAAGCGCATGGCCTTCTATTGTTTGAGATCTCAGCCAACCCCGTATATGTTCAACATGTAGATGAATCTCATACGGATAACTCCAAATCCATCTTAACGTTTCATATATATCGCCAGCATCAAAAAGGAAAAAGATTCAAAATAGAAAAGGGTTAGTTGGGCGCGCACTGTCGGCACTTGCTAGCTAGTCCAGGTTTTAATAAACTAGAAACTGACATTACTGGCCTTAGGGGAGGCACACCTGTAGCCTCTCACTAAATAGCTCAATTTCCCCATCCCCGATATCGATCCGGACAACAGACCACAGCTCTCCACTACCCAATCTTTATGAAACTGTCATGGACTATGACTCACCAAGACCGCTTCGCCCTGCGCGAGCCGATAACAATTCCTTCGAATCCCTAAGGAAAGAGATATATGGAAGCCCAACCATAGAGGCTCTCAAGTCCTGGAAGCGTTGCTGGCATCTTTATTCTTTCACTACACGTCTACTTACATACTTCGTAGTACTTATGCTTATACTCCTCGGTGGTGTAATCGTTTTCTATTTGGAGTTCGGGAAACGAGAACATAAGGTCGTTTCAAAAGCGACAGCAGCCCAACCTACGAGGGTCTTCCAGTGGTGCTGTGATGGGGTCTTGGATATGCCATCTAAACATAAACCCGTTATATAGGGGATCCAAGAACTCAATGAGGGTCTAGGACTCGGAGAAGCACGCGTTGATGTTAGGAGTGGAGTCTGAACTTGGAAATGTAGTGGCTTCTTCCTATATTCGACATATATAGCTCCCTATATGTTATATGTAAAGTTACATTCTATGCAGTCCATACTTGTAGTCTGCTTTCCTATATGCTAATCATAAGCTAGTTTCAGCTTCACCGCTCGGACCTTTGTTTGATTGTTCTCAAGCCCTTTGGAAATGGATCCACACCAGCTACTTATGGCGAAATAATACCTGTGCCTTGAAAACTAATGTGATAGAAAAAGGGTTAATTGTAAAATATAATTAATTGATTCGTTTGTCTCCTGTGGCATATCATGGGCAATTGCTGCTCAGGCAGCTTGTGTTTTCTGGGATTGTAGCTTCTTCACACCCTGCTAATTTGAGGCGGAATAAAGGCATGATAATCGAAGGTTATACGGCTAGTACGTGATTCAGAGATATATCGGAGTCAATGGGGTTAAAACTAAAATTGATGACTAGAATTTGTTTTTTCTAACCACACAAAAATCTAAAATGCAAGCAACGCGACGTGAATTAAAGTTCGCAATTAGAAGAGCTAAAGGTCAAGATTGAAACAAAAGAGAAAAAAAAACAGTCACTACAGAGCGAGTGAGTAAAAATATCCATCCTGCCACAACCTAGCTACCAGGCTCCCCAGGTTGGACCGTGACTTGCAGCTCACTCAGTGCTTTCTCGATTGAACCCAATTTTTGGTAAGCCTTCCGAAGTTGAACACTAATCTTACTCTTTTCCTCCTTGAGTTTTGTCAATTGCACCATGTCACTTGCATCTTCATCCATCAAGAATATCAGCTCAGACTGCGGCTGAAGCTTCTTACAGAGCTCCTGAATTTTGGTTGATGTCTCTCTGGATTGGCACGATAAGATTGTAATCTCGTTGAAACAAGCTGTCCGCGCTCTTATGAGGAGAAGTGTCTCGTCTGTGGAGCTCCAACCCGGCTTCTCGTCGGTGGGTTTCATTTGAATTATTTGCGTGGGCGAGAGTATGGCGATGGTAGAAACAGTTGATAATACAAACAAGGCACAATAAAATAATGTGTTAGACAACCGAAAGAGAGCGCTGTGATTGTAATATCCGGCTATGAGCGCTGTGTGAACCTTCTTCTTATAAACACAAGAACGCCCACGGGTTTCTTATAAAGATAGTATGGGTCTTCTGGATGTTTGTCATGGCACAAATAACCTCAATTTCACAGGATCCTTTGAAACTGTCTACTAGAAAAAGGTGTACATGTATGGATAGAAGTTGGGTCATTGTACTGCTGCCACATCCTTCTGGTGAGCCAGAGGCATCACCAGACTGTCGTAAAAAAATCTTCATAGAATGCCTGCTCAAAGCCAGGTTTGTCGCCCGCGAACCAAAGTAGCAAATCACGTCCTAGCTTGGAATCCCAGGTGATAGCTTCCACCACCGATCACCTAGTCTGTATAAACACCGTCGTTCTGCCGCCTAGCCTAGGCTGGGTATCAAGAGTGTGGCTTTTACTCACAGATAACATTATTTTCTTATCAAGTAATTGATTGGTGCTCACCAGAATTCTGAGCCTCTGTAATAGAGTAATGGGCAGCATCACCGGACGAGGATATCGCCTAGCTCTAGCCATAAGTAGTTAGGCTGCTAGTGGCACAATCGAGTGATTGTTTATGATCGAGTGCTCTCATATGAAGGAGAGGTATTGTCAGTCAGCTACGTAGGTAGTGGCTACAGGCCCTGGTAGAGGTCTTATCAATCATTTCAACAATTTTGTCGTGCTCACGATTAAAACTCAAGTGCAAGTGTTCGGCAAGTCCATCTAAAAGGAATAATCTCATACATAGTAACTGGCCCTCATATCCTTGTAATCACGACTCCACTGTGGTGTTTTCTCCATAAAGTAAATTAATCTAAAAGCTGATACAAATACATCATCATCCCAACCCCAGAGCCCCTACTAAGCCTTGCCGGCCTTCTTCGTTTTTTGGATTACGGGAGCTGTCTTCACGGCCTTAAGTGGTTTTTGAACTACAGCTGCCTTCTTCGTAGCTGTCACGGCTGGTTTCTTTGTAGTTGCGGTAGACTTTTTCGCCGCGGGTGTTTTGGCAGCTGTGGTAGTAGACTTCTTTCCGGCGGTGTTGGGTGCCCTTGTGGGGGTTTTCTTGGCTGCAGTGGTCTTCTTAGCACCTGAGACTGGCCCTTTTGCAGTAGTAACCTTCTTCGCCGCAGTGGTATTCTTCGCTGCAGTGGTATTTTTCGCTGCAGTTGTCTTTGCCGCCGTAGTCTTCTTCGCTGTGGTGGTCTTTTTCGCTGCGGTAGTCTTCTTCGCTGCGGTGGTCTTCTTCGCTGCGGTGGTCTTCTTCGCAGCAGTCGTCTTTGCTGCGGTCGTCTTCTTTGCTGCAGTCGTTTTCTTCGCCGCAGTGGTATTCTTCGCTGCAGTTGTCTTCTTCGCCGCAGTTGTCTTTGCCGCCGTAGTCTTCTTCGCTGCGGTGGTCTTCTTCGCTGCAGTCGTCTTTGCTGCGGTCGTCTTCTTTGCTGCAGTCGTCTTCTTCCCCGCCGTAGTATTCTTCGCTGCGGTGGTCTTCTTCGCAGCAGTCGTCTTTGCTGCAGTTGTCTTTTTTCCTGCAGTGGTCTTCCTTGCCGCAGTCGTCTTCTTCGCCGCCGTAGTCTTCTTTGCCGCAGTCGTCTTTGCTGCGGTGGTCTTCTTTGCGCTAGATGTGGGCCCCTTGGAGGGAGTCTTTCTAGCTGTAGTTGGCTTTTTGACTGCAGTCTTCTTTGCTGCTTTGGTAGTCGGCTTCTTGCTGGACGCCTTTTTCGTAGCAGAAGCAGCCTTTTTGACCGCTCCAGGTCTCTTAGTAGCCGTGGTCTTCTTCGCAGCCTGGGATTGCTTTTTGAACGCAACGCCCTTCTTTGCTGCGGCAGAAGGCCTCTTCACAGTTGGTTTCTTGACGCTGCCGGTCTTCTTCTTTGTCGCAGAGGCTTTTCCAGCTGTTTTTGCTGTTGTCTTGCTGCCGGCCTTCTTCCGGCTGGGCGCTGATGCCGGTGTCTTCACCTTTGCGGATGCATTCTTATTTATGCTCTTGTTGACCTTCTTTGCAGCCTTTGCCTGCGTCTTCCTCGGTGAGGCCTTAGTGCCCGCCCCCTTCCGTGTGCTGGTGGTCTTCTTCGGGGCTGCCTTCAACGGGCTTCTTCCCGTGCTGGGTTTCACCTTGCGGCCGGTGGGGTTCTTGGCCGCGCTCTTTCCGCCAGCAGCTCCCCTTGAAGCCGTATTTCCGCCTTGGGGCGGCGTCTTGGTTCCCGATCCAGCAGCGGCACCTCTGGATCCCGAGCCGGACCCAGAGCTTGGCGGTGTCTTCTTGCCCGAGGCTGCAGCTCCGGACCCGGACCCGGCACCCGATCCAGCAGCTGCATTCCCGCCTGCACCTGTGCCTCTGCCCGACGATGGCGAGGGGCTTCTGCTCCTGCTTGTGCCCCTCGGATTGCTACCACCTCCCGGTGACGGCGGCGGGCTCTTGTTCTGCGTCCTCCCCCTCTGGCTGGTCCCACCGGGGGACAACGGACTCTCCGGCCTCGGGACAGTGCTCCCTCCCGCGCCCTGTGGCGGATCACCCTCCTTCCAGACCCTCGCCTTCGCCTGCGTGTCCGGGTTCACCTTGATGATCTCGGTCACCTTCTTCTGCTTGTTCGGGTCCGTCAGCGTTGGCAGCTCCGTCTTGTGGTATATCGTGTTCTCTAGCCGCTGCTGGATGACGTCGGGGCTCTCCGTCTTGGGGTCGCCCATCTGCCCCGACAGCACATGCACGCGCCCGGAGGCCTCGAGCGCGTACTGCTTCGATGCATTGTCCCACCAGGGGAGGCCCGGGTCCTTGCCGGGCGGGGCGCCGTCCTTGACGTTGTTCTTGGACTTGAGCTGCCCGATGGTTTCGAGGTTGTTGGCGGTGGCGTAGGCGTCGGCGGGCTTTTCGAGGCCTTCTCCGGCAGCGGTGCGGCCATGCCAGAAGAGGGAGCCGTCAGGTTGGGTGGAGAGCTTCTGGCGGAGGACGGGGTCGGGGTCGGGGCCATCGACGCGGCGGACGAGAGTGGTGGGGAAGGCGGTGGTGAGGGGGAGGAGGAGGAGGAGGAAAGAAGCGAGGGGGAGGCGCATTGTGGGTAGTTAGGGCCAGGGGGGGGGGGGAGGTGGTGGTAAAATGAGTGTAAGTGACGGCCGGCGTCGGGACAGAAGGAAAGTTCAAAGGAATGTGAGGGAGACCGAGCTCCAGAGAGGGCAGATGCTGTGCTTGCTGGATAGAAGCTTTCGGGACCTCTGTGTAGAGCTATATATCATGTCGTGGGACTCTGCCCGGTGAAAGATTGGTTGAGGAGAATTGAGAACCATCTCCCACCATGGGTCAATGATTTCTGAGGAGGTTTCGCAACCATCTGTTCGTTTGTGGGGTGCAGAAGAATTATTCCCACCACCACGTGTTATTCCCGGTGGTGGTTTAAGATGTTTCGTTGCATCTTTGTTTCCGGGCCTTAACCGCTGCTATTTCTGGACCGTGGAGACATTCGGATCCCGTGGGCATCGTTTGGGCATGTTCCTTTAATTCCCCGTTGTCCAAGGTATGTACATGTATGTATGTATGCAGGGAGTCCTGGAGAACCGGGGCGCGGGATATATGGGGAACTGACAACTCGGATTCTTCAGCATCTCCCGAGAAACGCCTTACCGGCTGGTCGTCCGGCCAACTCCCACCACATTTGAACGGACTCATGTAACCATAGACAAGACACACGGAGGCGATGGACTCCTCCAGTGCATAGGTAGGATAGCTTTTGCATATATCTCGCCGTTAAGTAACAGTGGACGGAGGGCAGACTCGACATCCGCTGGGAGCCGAACCCGGTCAGTCGCAAAAACGTGGGTCGATAAGCATATCCTCGATCGACCCTGGGGAAACATCGGACAGTGAGTGCTGTGGGATGTCAGCCTTCCCACCAACCCCCAGTACAGTCGAGAATGATAGGCGGAAGGGGAGGGGGGGTGGTAAACACAATAAGTGGGGTTGTATATATCTGCAGACTGCTGCTCGTATGTGTAGTGTATGCAGGTACTGCCGGTCAGTCCATCGATCCCGGCCAGTGATTTGCACATGGAAAACAAGCGTCTCACCTTCCGCTAAATGCCTAAGGAGCGCCAACGTCGCCAACCCAGTAAGGTGCGAGAAGAGGAGATGTGTCTAAGCTGGACCAACGGTGTAGGTAGCTGTAAGCCCGTCTGTAGGTACTCTACTCCGTTCATGCTCAGTGCCGGCGGTGGTGTTGACGAGGTTGACGAGGTTGACAGCTGGGCCAGTGTCAGTGCTTGTTCTTCTTGTTCTTCTTCTTCTTGTACTTGTTCTTCTTGTACTTGTTCTTCTTCTTCTTCTTCTTCTTCTTGTACTTGTTCTTCTTCTTCTTCTTCTCCGTCTCCGTCTTCTTCTGGGGTTCGCCCTCTCAAGATCATCTTCTTCTCTGGCTGCTCTCCTTCTCCGTTGGCCATCCTTCTTCGTGCTCCCTCCTTCCTCATCCTCCCCCCCCCCCCAATCCTTCCTCCTCATTGACCGGGGTTTCATCGTGGGCGGCGCAGAATACAATCTGAACTCAAGGCCTTGGCGAGACATGCATGTATGTAAGTATTGTGCGATATGCATGCATTCCCCCTGCGGCTGATCTTGGCACAGTCTGTGTAACAACGACACCCTTTGAGAAGTGTGTACGGTAACAGTGTACCTACAGTCACTATCGATGTGGGTATCATCACAAAATATCACTCGCTTATCCGATACGACGCTGCTACTTGTAAGGATCGCGACTTGAAGCTTATATATAGGAGGTACTATCCCGACCAAGAACCTTGGTATAACTGCATGTATATATATTGGCATGGATGAAGAAGAGACTTTTATTATTGACTCTATTATTCTTTAGATGTACCCAGGGTGTCGGAAAATGATGCACATTGGGTGATATCTCAACCATGAGAGAATTAATCTGTACACAAGTCTATCTTGAGGTTAATTTAAGTGTGTAGATTCCTTTCATAAGAAAAAAATAAATAAAAAAGGTCTGTCATCGATACTTTTTGGTTTTTTTTAACACTGATTTTAGCTAGTGGATAGTGACTTCTTGCTTGAAGAATGGCTATTTTGTATTCAATTAGCACCAGATGAATTCTTAGCCATTGTAGAGACGCCCTACACTCGAAATTTGAATTTAGGGAGCGTGTTGCGTTGCGCCAAAATATAGGTATTTGGGGTAATTGGCCTTTGTCAAACCAAAATATGCATCACTTTCCAACACCCTGGGTACATACATGTATGACCGCTGCATATGTACGTGTGTGCCTATCTTAACAACTTAACTGTATTTGACAGAAGTACCCAATACCAGGATTTAGAGATGGTTTGTAGCGATGATAGATAGCTCAGTTAACGTTGATAAACCGCCTTATGAACCTATCGCCGATTGTAACAGCCGAGACTGCCATTCTCTCCATTTGTTCCTTTTTTCGCCCCAAGTATACCTTCCTGTGGTTCATTGCGCCTCTAAACCAGGCCTTCACAACTCTTCCGAACTTCGGTTGGTGGTGGACGGACTCGATAAGCGGTTGGTGATTCAGGTTACCTGTGGCGCTGTAGATATAGACAATATCCACTTGAGGCGAGTGCGGGGGAAACAATTGTCTCCGTAGTTTGATGATATGGCCTTACATTTCGTCAGGGCGAGAAGAGTCAGAATTGAAGGGATTACCGTCAATAAGAGGAGATGAAACCGCACCTTTTACTTTTTTCACAAAATTCTCGATGGATATGATTAAGTTTTTGTAAAAGATTGTGTCGGCAAGGCCTGGATAGCCGGAGATGAACGTGTAGATGGTTGCCACTAGCGGTAAGGCCTCCTCTGAAACATCCTCCCGCTTTTCTTCTGGCTTTTTAATTACCTCAAACCCTCTCGAATACTGTATGGCCGCGGCGGAAAAACGCTTTTCGATGAGGGTCGGGTTGATCCATTCCTCGTAGTCTATTGTTCGATCGGCGGCATACGCATATACCGAATGAGAGTTGGTCATGAATATTAAGTAAAGAAGAAAAAATTGAAGGTTGTTGAGTGATAGCATGTTGAGAATTATAAGGTTGTGAGACAAGTCTGATACTAATAGGTTGTTGATTTGTAATGATGCTGCAGATGTGCGGAGAGATGGAGAAGCGGACGGGAAAAAAACTAATTTATAGCCTGGCGTGGCAAGAGCACTGCAGCACTGGATGACCTCCAAAGTTCAAAAATCACCTGGAGCACATTTTGAGTCCCATTCAAAACAAGTGGACACACCTCATATATATGTTTACGGTTAATTGGGAATTTAGAGTTTCTTTCGACCTGTCTTGGAGGGTGCGCATACTATCGATACATATATATAAACGTACTTACTCTTTGACCCGACACCCCTGGTAGGTGTTGGTTTGTGGATGGGGTTTCATGTCGGAGTCAGGAGAGGCCTTAGTCTTTGCATGCAAATTGAGTCTGGATAGCACTCCAACCTCCGACGGCGGCCCCCCCGGTCTTTGGAGAGCTCTAGTTAGTTGCAACCCATTTCAGAGCTATCGGGGCTGGCTCCCGGGGGGGGGGGGGGGGATGTAATAAGGCATAACTAATTGGGATTGAAAGTAGACAATATCTTGATCGATGCTGGGGTATATAGTGCTTCCGCAGCTGCAGCTGGTCGGCGGGGAGGTACTTTTTCGTACCAATTATCGGCAGCATTGGGATAACTTTGATGTATAATCTTACCAAAGAAGGAACGGCCTTTGCGATAGGCTTATAACTTTAACTCAAAGCTACACCCAGGATGAAGGTGGATATATATACGGATGGGACAAAGGGAAGATTTGTGCTAGAACTAGAGCCTGATAATTTAAACGAGAATTATGAGTGCGATGGGAATATGAAGCATCTGCAGATATCCGGGGGACTATAAGAAAATGCTGATAAAAATTATAAATGAGCGGATATGGAAGAAGGATTCTAGAAATTGCAAACAGGCCGGCTGCATGTTCGAACAAGTGTGCGCACAACAATTTCCGGGCTTTCGGGGCAAGAGGAATTCCAAGGAAATAGACGAAAGGTGGCAAGATTTAAAATCAAATAAATAGATCGGTAAGGGTAGAATATCAAGAGCGGGAGAAGTTGACAGATCTTCTAGGGCCGGTCCTATGCGTCGATATGACATTTTATGATATTCACCACATATGTGAGGTGCGTGAACGAATTAAGCCCATCTACCCTACACAGAGAAAGAAATATTCAATCAAGGAATAACCAGGAACACGATGCAAGAATACTGGCAGACAGATACCCAAACCGCGAGTCATCAGTCAAAGGTAGCGTGATAGGAAAGCCACAACCTTCTCGTACCCCTCATCCGCTGCTGCAACTGCGCCAAAGATGTTTTGCACCTCTACTTTCTCAACACCGGCTGGGCACGTTTCGGAAGCGATGTAAGTGGCTTTCAAGTCCTTTAGCTTCCCGATGGTTGGAGCTATCTTCTTGACCAGGCGCTGAAGATCTGCCAGCTCCTGTTTGGCAAGACGGGCATTTGCCTCTTCGATCCTCCGGGGGTCTCGCAATCCCAAAATTCTCTTTTCGGCTGTTTCAAGGTCTCCCGTCGCGACTTTGATGCTTCGAAGGATAGATTCTAACAAACTCATTTCCATCGAGGCGCGAGAGAGAAATATCGCCGTGGGCGAGCTATGCTCATCGGTGAACACTACCGAACCGGTCATAATGCTTGATCCTGTGCTTGAAGATGGATATTCACGCCGATAGTTAATGCGAAGGCGAGGACAGAGTTGGTAGGCCGAAGGAGGAAGAGGGTTTCAGAGACATGGGCTCATGAGTTTACCTTCGAATCCTTGCGATGGTCATACGACTTAATCGATATATCCTGTGTGAGTCATGGGTACATCGGTGTACCCCGAGCTTTTAGCAATCAGGTCGTTTGCAGTACTTACTACCTTGCTCCGAGCAGGATGTTATCAAGAATGTGCGCTGCAGATCTGGTCCCTGAAGACTATAATTGCTTATATTATCAGCGATTAATCATGATCATCATGTACCGATGACTTTAGCTATAGGAATTAACCAAAAGACCTCCGCGAACTATTCCTTGCCCTGTGGTTGATTGAAATTGTCGATTACCAGAGACGTGAAGTATGTGGGTGGGGCTTGTGCTCTCTTCTCATGAGATTGGGACATGAGGTGATCCATGCATGGTCATACGATCTGAGATAGACCGGCCGTATGGTTAATTCTGGATGTTTTAACCAATAATATATATGGTTATATATAGCTAAGACTCACCAGATACCAGTATTATCAAAAGGAGACCCCATGGCCCAGTGAGATTCGCAGGATTCGGAGCCGGTACGTACCAGAGTACGACCACAAGAGAATGTGATTCTGGTTACACAGCCGAACATTGAGATCATGATATCGATGATGGATTTTCGTGAGCACAAAAGTGTCCGTGGGTGTGCTTCTCAAATCACGCGAACCCTCTGAGGATGTGAACAGCATTACATACTCAATATCAGGACAAGCACACACTGTTAGCATAGGTTTGTTACATGTGTGGAACATACACAACAGTAGATACTCACCACCCAAAAAACAGAGCTCGGATTTGAAATTTGGTTCTCGCGATACGGAAACTCGAGGATAAGAAAGACCACTTCGATTTTGCAGTCGGGTTTCTATTTGAGGTGATATGGTGTTAAACACCGTGTATATCGATAAGGGAATTTCTTCTGAGAGCTAGGCCAACGCCGTATGGATGGAGTAGGTACTTTGCGGTTGAAGTACTGATAGTCGGTAATTCCTTATTTCTATAATTTGGTGGTAACTGCTGGGTTCTTATACATTCTCACTACTCCAGCTGACCCAGATTTAAATGTATCCAGTATATCGTGGTGACAGAGGTGCATCTCTGGCAATCACAAGCCTATAGCTAAAGCTCAAACGTCTAGGTTAATCTCATGCTACTGCGGCATATGCAGATTGATTATCATACACGCCGGGGGGAGAGAAAGTAAAAGCACTATGACTTCCACCACCTTCAGGCCACAATTGTGCTTTTACAGCAGAGTCACGGGAGACTCTGTAATAAAGCGTTGGCGTTTATGCATTCTGTAAACTACATGTACTTTACAAATTATATGCTGACGAGGCTTTATCTTGCATCAGGGCAACACTCTTGGCGTTTCTTGGTTTTCACCTACAGGATTAGGGACTCCAACAAGAAGGGGTCTGGAATTAAGCTTAAAGGTGGCTGTACCTACATAAGCCAAGCAGCGATATAATCTTCTTTTGGTGCCTCCATCGTGGCTCTATGTATCTAATGCCGACCACCACCTTTGGCACCTCGTTCCAATCAATAATGTCTCATAACCTCCCTGGCACTGAGGTTTTATGCAGCGAATAGCGCTCCAAAGTTGCCACCAGTCCTTTTCGGGTTCTTGGCAGACATTCAGGTAGTCTAGGGATTGTGGGGTTTGAACCGCGGATTAGCCCTGCTCCCTGGTTGATTCGGGTCCCATTATTCAGCTATTCACGCCTTTTATAGTTGATACCCCCGCCTTTCAGTACATATCTAGATGCTATAGTTGATTCTAGTACCTACCGGAAGAATTCGAGGACCACCTGACGCACTTTATACCGATACAAGTGCTACATCATTACAGACAGACTGATCTACCGACTGACAAAAAGGGGCAGCAACCGCTGCAGGTCCTGCGCGCAACGGAGGGACCACCTTTACTAAATCGTGGCTTTGATTGGGACGGCATTTTTGGTAATGCAAAGGTGGGTATAAGTGCAAATTGCCCACATGAGAAGTCCGTTAACTCCACTCAATTATAGATGTGCATAGCGCCATGACTCCACTAGCACGTCGCCTACAACTTAAAGGTTCGATCGATGGTACAATTACTCATGTGTTGACAGGATACTCTGTCAGTAGCCTAGGGAAGATTGAGTCAATGGTATCAGCGAGGAGTAGGTGTCCTTATTAGTGAGCTGAGAAGTTATATTGGTACACTTAATGACGTACGTCAAGATGAAGGTATATACGTATATCGTCTCTAATTACGGTCTGAGATTTCCTTTAATGGCTTGAGAAGTCAGTAGGTACACGAATAGGTAGTTACATGTATGTATCAGCTGAAGAGAGAGTGTGTTAAATGCGGTAGTACCTACATGTGGTTTAAGCAGATGGCCCGATTGGTGAATATGTGGAGGTATAAGTCCTAGTATGTATGTAGTCGGGGACTTGCGCTGACCTGATCTGATCTGATGTGATAAGATTAAATATTATCTGATCTGACTTGGTGAGATAAGAATCATAAGATCCGACGAAAGTGCTAAGACCTGCGTATGTACAGCTTACCCTCAAAAGAACCAGAAAATGCAAGTAACGGAAACAGGGATTATTTGTATGAGAGAACGACGCCACTCCATACAAATTATCCTTGCCCTGAGCAACTGCATTTTCTGGTTCTTACGCTGGTAAGGTGTACTCTACCGCCAAATCCGAGTCTTATTACGGGGTTGCCAAGGATGCAATTAACCCCCCGAATAACTCGAGATTTGGGGATTTGTAGATGTACTCACCTACAACCACAAAGTAAGATTGCATGTGCTGAAAGAGGTGTAAATCGTCGTTAAATAAAATCCCACATTTAGCGCTACAAGCCTGGAAGTCAGATATAAAGCTAAATACCTCGATTGATCGATCTAGCATGAGCGGATTCATCCTACGAATACATGTATACATGTATGTATGTACTGATATATGGATTGTGGCTTAATGCTTAGGCCAGACTCACATTACTTACAACACATATACAAGGAACTGTAATAGTATACGTGTAGAGGTAAAGGTATCAAATCGAAACTTGCAACCTATGTTGCAAATTCAATGACAGACAAAGGCTCTACGCGCTACTTAACGGTCACCTCTGAGGCTACTAGAGTATCACAACCACCAAAATCATCCCCCATTGAAACAAGGATGGAACATGACAATACCGCAATGACCGGACCACCCACCCGAGCGGGCCATAATACCGACGTTTACAACCTCGGGCTAACCTCATCAACTCTTATTAATGCAAAGTTGTCCTTGCGAACTTTAGTCTCTTCAGACATCACCGGGATTGATCACTACAAGTTTCAGGAAAGTCACCTCCAGTGTATGAGAGTACTGTGGGCAGAAACGCCTCCTACTTCAAGATACCACTACCGCATTAGAAGGCGTGTGGAAGAATGGTTCATTACCATTAGCCAAGTCAGAGACTTTGCTGTCAATCATATCATCAAACATTCGGGCTTGGAGGAGGCACAATACCAGGAGATAGTGAGGCTGAGAATTGCGGTGCATTCCAACCAGGACAAGGGTCAAGTAATAAATGACCGGATGATTATCCTGGTGCACGCAGGGTTGGATACTATTCCTGCTGGGTCCAGTGGAGATCCTCCGATCGAGTCGATCGACTTCATGAGCATCAGGGCTGCGCACGTCCTCCTAGTAGCGGCATGGAACAGTTTAGGGAGGGAGCTTCAAGAGGTTCGCCGTGTTGAAGGGCTCGATCACATTTTTGGTTCCGGTTCACTCACTGAGGATGAAACACACCTTTCCGTTGCAATCTCGGCATATTGGCTTGCCGAGGTAGACTTGGCATATGGGGAACTATATAGCGACCAACCCTATCATTACACCGAATTATTTATGGAGGGCTGTTGACCGTCAAGTTCAAAGTTAGTACGCACTTGTTCGAATAGGTTCATAACATTTTGGTCAGATTTGTTTCTCCGCACGTGCATCCCATGTCAAAATTAGTTGTATATTCCCTGTCAAATTAGAGGGATCCGTGTATGGTTCTCAACTATTGTTGTTTCGGGCCAAGTTGGGATTTGTTCGTGCGTTGTTTTTCCATTCTCTGTGTGACTTGTTATCATTTCCGTTGTTACCACGATTTATGATCAGAACTTCAACCTCAAGGAAATTCTGCGTATCAACTTCATGGATGTGTTCTTTCAAAGATAATGACTAAAAGTGTTCGGTGCCAAGACACGAATTCGAGCTTGGCCACTTGGAGAAAATAATCGAGTGAGAATACATGAATTGAACGAGTGATAAAGTATGATGGTAACTCTAATGGCACGGGGTAAAACTAGGGCCCTAGGAGATTGTTGATGATTCATATATAAACTGAGTGGACCCGTATTACTGCCGAGTCAGTTTCGAGGATAAATGCTGTACATGTACTGCAGCTTTGTGGTCTTTGCGGCTGTGTGGATGGCCAACTCGATATTGTTATGTCCTCGAGAGTAAAGACACGGATCCTGTCGCTTTGCAACTGCATGGGCTTTCGGGGACTTCATGGTAAGCTTTAACGGCCGCATGAACTTGCGGGAATAGCCATTGGATGCGTAGCCACTCCTGTGCTGGCCACCCGGTAAAGAGGGCTTATTATCTTGTCTTGCTCTCCTGTGCCGCTGTCTTCTTTTTTTTTTCTTTCTCTTTCGAATGGATGATCTATGACTTCTTTCCCTTATTATTTTTCTTTCCTTTTTTTCTTTTTAACTACACGATGCTGAATCCACCGGGTTCGATCAGGCCCAAGATCCTGGAAACCATATGCACAGTTGATCCTGCTTGCCGAGAACTCCGGCCGATCTCGCGTGTGGCCGCAACAAATAATTAGCTCTGGTGTCTTACCGAAGCCACTACACTGTAGTACAATAATAGCGATGCGGCGCAGGGAGGTCGACGAGGAGCAGGCTAATATAGCCCTTAGCTGTCGATGCTGACCCCCCTATAACAGAGGAATTAGATTTGTACGAGGGTCCTATTATTTGATAAGCGAGCTGTTAATAAAGCCATCTGCACACCGGATTTGCGATAAGGGATAGTGCGCACCAAGTCGATTCCCCTATAAAGACACACATATGCATAAAGAAACACGTGCAAATAGTAGAGTCCGCGAGTTATACACATGCATGTATCTTCGGCGGTGGGATTATCTACATCTCGAGCTGACTTGCGTAGATAGATGCGCACGCACACAAGGTTGATGTTTTTGATTCTTCTAGTACTCAGCTTCCTATTAGATCCGGGCCCTGTTGGGGGAAGAACACTTGAACAGCCAAGATAATGCCATCAGGTGTATTATTTGGAAGTGTATGCATATAGATAATAACATGAACATGGTATGCATGCTGATTTGTAATGTGTGCAACTCTTGGCCTTGATTGCCTCGGCCGCGGAATACTGCCATCATGAACTATCACTCGGCCGCCAAGATAGGTTTTCTACTGTCTGGGTCCCATACGCAGCTACCTAAATCTGTTTACTGCACCTGCTGAATGTAATTCCCCCGATACAGCCGTTTGTTTGGGGCTGCCTGGTTCGTATGGATATTCGTCATGTAACATCAAATAAAATAAACAGGTAGGTCTTGCCATTAATCCTGGGAACATGAATTTCCCTTCGTTTGTCGGCGGTGGCTGCCCCCAAAGAAAAAGCAAGTCTGGTGTGGCTTACTAAAATATCTCGCTATCTCCCTTAGTACTCCTTCCTTTTTTAGGTCCAGCTGTATACTCATGTATATACCTACCCGTATTGGTAACCAAGGAAGACTGAATATTGGCTTGTAAGTTAACCCTCAAAGCGTGTTGAAACAGAGTTCCTAGGTGCGGCGTTAGGTTAACTCCGCTGCCAATGCCCGCCGGTCGCGTTATTTGCCCGCCGGTCGAACTGATTGCTGCCAAGCCCGGCCAGGGCTAGGGTTAATATTCGAATAACTGGCTTTGACAATTAAAATTTCAATTCGATTCGGGCTGTAATAGTTGCGTACTATTCCCCGCCAAGTTGCCGCTGCAGCGACGCAAGGCGTAAAACTGGTTCGGAATGCCGGTCAGCTCAGCGCTCTGACAAGTTATCCAACGACTCCGCGGTGGCATGACTGTCGGTATCAGATGCGCTGTAATTCGACATATATATATAAGGCCCCCATTGGCGGAAGAGGTTGGACTTAGACTTTAGGGTAGGAGTAGCTCACCGCTCTGGGGATTTTATTGGTGTTTATATTAACTGTTCATTCTGAGTCAATAAATCATACAAATCAGCCCCAAACGTCTCAAACCAGAATTAACATTAGCAACACCCTCACCACAATGGTCCATATAGCTCTCGCAGGTGCCAGCGGCTCTCTTGGCCAACTCCTTCTCACCCATCTCAGTTCCCATCCATCCGCCCATAGAATCACCGTCCTCTCCCGCTCCCCCACCCCTCCAAAACCCATAACCCCAAACACCACAGTCCGCACCGTGGACTACACTTCCCTCTCCTCCCTCACCAAAGCCCTCGCTGGTATCGATATCGTCCTATCCACCCTCTCGTCCCTCTCCTCCGGCCCGGCCCAGATGCTGCTGATCCAAGCTGCAGCCGCCGCCGGGGTCAAGCGCTTCGCACCCTCCGAGTGGGGCATTCACCCGGACCTCAACTACGACATCACACTCTACACCGACATTAAGACACCCTCCTGGGAGGCTGTCAAGACCTCGGGGATGGAGTACACGGCGTTCGAGAACGGGGTGTTTCTGAACTATATGGCGTATGGGAGCCCTAAGGCGGGAGCGAAAGAAAAGGCGTTCAAGGGGCTCCAATACACACCGTGGCTATTTGATCCGACGTTGGACACGATCGAGGTACCGGGGACGGGGGAAGAGCAGTTCGTGGTGACGGAGGTGGAGGACATTACGAGAGTTGTGGCGGACGTTGTCGGGAGGGATGAGGTGTGGCGGCAAGAGGTGAGTACGATGGTGGGCGCGGTGACCTGTTTTAACGAGTTGATTCGAGAGATGGAGAGAATTACAGGTACGTTGAATATTGGGTTTGAATCTTGTTGAAGTAGCCCTTGGCTGATGCTGTGTATGGAAATGTAGGGAAAAAGTACGAGGTCGTGTATCAAGACATCGCCCTCCTGGAGAAGAAGATCGCTGAGGAAACCACTCAGATGGGGAGGTTTTACTGGGAGTATCGTCTCTGTCTGGCGCGGGGGAAGTGCAATGTGCAGCCGTCGTTGAATAATCTCACGGACCTCAGCTTGACGGGCGTCACCGAGTTCCTGGAAAGGTGGTGGGGAAAGAGGGGTGATGAGTAAGAAGGAAAAAAGAGAGACTATAGTATGCTGTAGGATGTTGTCTACCTGTGGAACTAGGGTGAGAGAAAATCTTCTCATTTTTATGATAGTTATAGTCGATTGTTGTGGATAGGCTCGGATGCTGTACTATCACTGTTCTATAGCTAGTTATATAATTACCCAGGAAGTTCGCATATCCAGGAACCGTGTTTCCTGGCCATGGGTGAACTGGTTTCCCCGAGGGGATAATGGGTGGACTGGATTTTACTATATGGCGAAGTGGGTTTTAAAACCTCCAGGATCGACTACATGCCATTGCAATTGCCTTTCATGGTTGATGAGAGTATCTATCTACTATACTATAAAAGAATATGTACCGAAAAGTTTCGTTAAAATCTAACCCTGCACCTAAATGGCGCCCTCACCATTGAATAGAATACAGCAGGCATCAATCTCATTAGTAGCTATGAGACGGAGTAACCTTGACTCATAAAATCTCTTTATCTCTCTAGATCTTATCTGCAATCAATGACAGGAGAGATATCTTTAGAACATGCTCTGGCAGCTACTGTACGAGCAACAGGCCGGTAGCATAGGGGATAATGCGCTTCCATCTGGTAGCCGTAGGAACAATTGCCGGAAGAGATGGGGTTCCTCTTATCAGCCTAGCTCTAGCTACCAAGGGCTGGCTAGGCCGTCTTCCCCACACATCGTGTCTCTCTACTATTGGTGAGCATGGGGATGAGCCCCCAGAATAATATTACCCCTGTATCCGCCCAGGCTGTACACTAGATAATATACCTCACATGCATATTAACGTGGGGCAGATTACCTGGAGAGTAATTCGTGCCTGGTAAGGCTGTCTATCATATTTCCTGTATCTTATTTGAGAGGAGGAGAGCGATTTAATGTTGTAGTCCTCCATAGCTTATGGTGGGGGAAGCCTTGTCACGGAGTAGTTTTGACCGCTTATAGCTCAACCACCACACATATTTTTAATTTTATTTGATAGGTCAGCTTAGTTTTACCTGTTCTGTCATTTTATCTGCTCGAATTTCTAAAATCATTCTTCGTTGTTGAGTTATAAAAATATTTTGGCTGGGATAATGTCGCTTGTATGGTCAAAAAAAGTACTTTCCTCGTCCTAGACCACTCTTAGCACGTAATTTGTATGTGAGTAAGCAAAATCAATGTCATGGCACTCCGTGTCAAGGTTTCCCCCACCACACTGTAGTAATTCGCCTTAGCGGATGGTCACATTGACGTTGAAATTCCTTGATCTGGTCATTTGTCTTGGACGCCCCGCAAATCTTCCCTCATACGCGTTGTAAAAGGCAACTTCGACGTCTGTGTAACAGTCCGCTGAGACGAATTATTGCGGTATATTGTTGGTATAGTTCATGCCAAGATCATCATCTTTCCCTATCTGAGGACAGAAGCGTGCGTCGACGTCCTCTGGCCGACTAGGCCTGCTGTACAATTGGGCGGAGGCGAACTCGGTCTCTTCAATACTACAAGTCAAGAAGGTGGGGCAGGTATCTATGGAATGGTAGAAAGGAACTGGAGTAAATGAGTGAGAGACTCGATTCACTCGTGAGAATTAAGAGTTATATGGTCCCTACGGTACAATTTCGAAATGGTAAACTACCTGTTATATCGGGGACGAGGATATCTGCCCACAGTGCCCTTTAGTAGCATTTGGGGGTTAAATTAGAAACAATAGTATATCTAATTGGATGAACAATAGTACTAGCACGGATCGATTAGAATCGATTGATATACTCGATTGGAGGAATAGATTTGACTAGACTAAGAATGCGGGAAGTACTTAGTAACTACGAGTATCCTCTGGAATCTAATCGATTATACTTGATCTAATCAAAGAAGTTAGGAAGTGAACACGGAATTATAAAAAGGGAGAAGCTGAGACTGAAGCTCGTCAACCTCACGCTACAACTGATAGGACTTCCAGCAAATGATACTGTTCACCCCCGCGCCCTAGGATTATAACAAAGAGCGGTAATAATTCTAAAACAGTTCGTGCTCTTTCCTTCGATATGGGGCCTTTCTCTGAACCAACTCCAAGCATGGCTACGGGTGCAGTAAATACGGTACCTGGTATTTGTTCAGACACAGACGCGGAAGATATTCGCATAACTATGCCGCCATCGACCAGTACAGTGGGCATTATAGATAACTCTTTCATCTCAAGTAAAGAGTCTATGTCCTATCTGTTTAATAGGGAAATCCGCTTTGTACTTCAACCTTGTTAGACAGCAGTAGTCTAGTGTTTCTGCCACGTGTCAGAGATCAAACTTGAGAACGCCATCCATTCCAATGAAAATTATTTAGTGTATGTGGTGTAGGAGGAATTCGAGAGTAAGGAGTAGCTATATGACGACTTCGGATTACTACGTATACTCTCATTATAAAACACATCATCCTCGGGTTCTACTTTCTCTTTCGGCAGCGGAGAAACTCGCTCGAGATAAAGCTGGAGATGCAGACGCTCTGAATCCAAATCCGTATCAATCGACTACATTCTTTGACAACGTTAGGAAGTCATCCACCCAGTTGAAACTGGGGTCGAACAAAGCACGAAAGATAATAGACAAGTCAATGGTGTTATCCAGTAGAGTTTCTATTTGACCAGCAATATACCGTCAACTAGTGCTAGTAGTTAATTTTGTGGTTTAATGCAATCTATCACTTCGTATAGCGTCGTGATGCCTTCCACTGCTTGACATATTACCCAACTGAAAATACTAGTCCCATATCACCGAGTACAGTAAAAAGAGACCTGGTAAACTGCCAGAAGCAGCCAAGGACGGTGATTATGACAAAGCTGCAAGAGGGCGTTCGTCGCAAGGTTCCTTTTGTCTAACACTTGACGCATGGGCATCTTCCAATAACTTGGACTTCCTTGGGGTTACCGTACGCTAAAAGGACAACTGTAAACCGCCGGGTGGTTGGTTTGCCAGATTGGAGAGTGTCCGGTGGATTGAGTATTTCCAATCGAATATTATCCTCTCTGGGTCGTATATTCTGACCCGGGTGATGGGCACTATATTTTAGATTACCGTCTTAAGGAAGGTGGAGTGTTAGATAAAATCTATCACGATTTCTAGAAAAGCAGCTATAGTGCTGTCGCAGGTCTTGTATTACAGGATTACTCTCTCCGATATTTTACCGATTTCAATGCTCCTTGTGTCCATCTTCAAAGGTCCACGCCCTAACCCAGTAACCTTCCGCTCCATCTTTCATGGTGATCGCGAACGGTTTGTAGTTTATCGACGCCTGATCTCCCATCGGCAGAGACGGAGAAGCCCATACCACCTTTCCTTCACCGGGGCCCGCCAAAGCAGCACTCCAGTCCATCCCAATTAAATTAAACCTTGTCCACGACGTTACATACACCAGGTCTCTGATCTTGCATCCTGGAGGTCCCGGAGTGACCCCACCCTTTGCACCCTCCCAGAATCTTAGAATGTTCCTAACAACGCCTGGTTGACTATTCAGTAAGACAGCAAGGCGTATCACTAGCGCAATTCGTGAAAGCGGCAGACTATTAATGTCGGGAAAAGGGATAAGTAGGTCGTAATAGCTGTTATGCAGGTATGTCGTTCCCTCAGACAGAGAAGGTAGAGCTTTTCGGTAATTGAAGCTGTAGCTAAGCTCGATCGCCTTTGACCCGGAAGTGGCGTAGTTCTCCTGAATCTGTCTTTAGTACTTGAATGCTCACTTTGTGTGAGCGGTAAAGTATATTCACAAGACGTCTCACCTTCAGAAACCATGCCGTTAAAACATCGTTCTTTGTTAACTTGATCCCTGAAGCTTCCTCCAGCATTCCCGATGATGCAGCTTCCTCAATCTCTCTCTGACAATCGTCCTGCCAGCCTTGTACTAGATTTGCGGTGAGATGAACGTATAGTTCCTTTCCCTTTTCCCGTGAGGCTAGCTCAACCTGTTTGTCATACCACTTGACATCGACCTCTGCTTTTGACAATATAGTGAAAGGATTGAATACGAGTGGAGCACCAAGAAAGGCACTCTCCGATTGATGGTCAAGGTCAAGGGGATCTTCAATGAGTGTCGATAAAGGAATCTCTACGGCCGGCGAGAGTACAATCTTTGGTATATCGAGCCCAGAAACAAGGTCCCGATAGGACTTGACAACCTCGTAGAGTGCTTGAGCATCACATAGTGCGTGAGTTGTTTGAAAGCCTAACAACGTTGCATTATTGAGGGTGGTAACACGTATAACAAAAATGTTGGGTGGCGGATTGAAAGTAGAGCTAAAGTGAAACAGGTCATCGTTAGAGGCAGAATTGTTATTATAGGATCTGTAGGAAGCCTTCTTGGTTGTGGTAGGAGATAGAGAAATGTCGATTGCGAGAATATCGTTGAGCTCCGACGGGATGTGCCGCGATTCGAAGTCGACAGTTGTACCGGTGGTGAAGGTGAAGGGCGACGTCTGCAGGTGTACTCAGCTTCCCACTCTTCAGAGACAATCATTTCTTGGCAGGCTGGGTACAGTTTTTATTTGCTGTCCACCGAGGACTGGCCACTTGGCAACAAACTCATGAGCATTCTCCTTTAGAATCCTGACATCGAGGACTCCAAGAATAACGACTCCAAGGAAAATGAAGTAGTCCTCGCTGGGGTTACCGTCTGAAATATGGCGATATGCTTTTGGAAAGGCTTCAGTTTTCATCGCTGTCGGATCCATAAATTATGGTATGTACAGTCTTCCGCGACCAAGGGTTCTTTATAAGATATAAAGGCGAAAGGAGCACCCCCCTAGATATGCCGCATCTGGTCGATGCCATAAAATTCCCCGGGAATAGATACCTAGCTTGGAGATTGTCAATCTACAGTCGCATCTCGCTATCACGTAATTCGATATCTCGGATCTCTTGCTGTCTCGTACGAAGTTGCGGGACAGGTACTGCCCTTCTCCACCAAAAACTATTTGCTGTCTCGTATATTTGCTATCTCGTAGGGGTTTGGCTCCCAGAATACGCTAACGACACAACGAGGTGCGACTGTATTCGTTCGCACGGCCATAGGTTCCATTTGAAATCATGGTAGATAGGAAGACATAGCGAGCCATGCCGGTAGGGATAAAGAGCCCTGCATCAGTCCGGACACCAACCCGATTGAAGAAAAGCCCAAGTCCAATTCCTTCGCAGGCACACCAAGTCACCGGATATTATAATAGTCAATGGCACATGCTAAGGGGTATAAAGGTCTAGTGGTAATACAATCGTCAGTCATGCGTATCTCCGCCTTGCATAGATTGCCACTACCCGGCCCGGCCCCGGCCCCGGGCAGAGGTTGATATGGTCAAGACTAGTCCAGAGAATAGCATCGGACTGGACCAGACCATTTTGAAAGATCATGGACCGGACCGGACTGGACCAAATCACGATGGACCGGTCCATTTTCTGGTATGGACTGGTCCACCGACCATTTAGCGGAGCGGTCTGGACTGTATTGGGGGCAGACTGTTTCAACCCCGTGACGGTACTCGCATGTAGGGGAAAGAACCAGAAAATGCAAATGGGTATCTTGTATGGCAGAACAGCACAACTCCATACAAAAGGTCCCTACTCCGTCACTTGCATTTTCTGGTTATGCTACACGCGAGTATGTACCTGTAACTATATATCCTATCACTTACAAACCCCCAAGTCAATTCATCTCCACCAGAATACCCTACGAATAGGACAGGTAAACGTGGTGTATGTGTGGGAGGGGGCGGGTGGGGATTCATTGTCATAGCTGGTCTTCTTATGACTTCAACCAGCGAAAAGGGTACAGCAGTAATCCGTCTCAGTGGACGGTTACAGAGACGTTGAAGTTCGCATATGAGGGACGATTGGGGGCGTTCTCGGGGCGTTCTCGGGGCGAGCGGCCAGACTAAAGAATTTCAACGTCAATGTGAGCGTCCACTGAGACGAATTACTGCGGTATTTCGATGGCGTGCGAGGCTCTCTGTGCGCTGCGCCCGCCGGTTGTTGAAAATACATCTATTGGCTCATGAACTATAATTACATAAGTATAGTAATGTTCACGAGACAAGACGAGACCTGATTGACAGTTATTACGTCTGGTATCATGTTGGTGAGGAATAGATCTCGGGAGTCTCGAGAGGTCTCGGGAGTAAAGCGAGATAATTGTGGGCTCATATTTGCTAGCATGAAACAGATACAATTGAGAGAACATTTGAATTTAGATTAATTTATATTCATGTGATCCATCAAGTCAAAGGTTTGAATCAATATTGGATCTGTTGGGACCAAATAAGTAGCGAGGAAGTCATGTTTTCTATATCTAGACTGGCCCCAATCCCGTCCCCAGATATTTGTCCTTCAAAAATCGCTGTATTGCCCGGGCTTGTAGAAAGATTACAAAACAAGAGCCCGAGACACGGCGTCTCGCCCTGCAGTACAATTTTTGAAAGGTAGTTTACCTATACCGGGAGGTGATGCAGCTGAATTCGTGTATCATGCTACTTTGCAATTTTTATCCGCGATAGGAGCTAGCTACAAAAGAATAGTTTGCAAAGAGGTATGAATTAGGGTTCTAGTAGGGCAATGTCAGACAGGATTTTGAGGTTGCCCGGGAACCGTCACCCCACAATTCCCGATTCCATGCCTACGGATTAAATAGGCCGCCCCCAGTCCATCGCCATCATCAAATTTATGGGTACCGAGGGTCGTGGTCATGATGGCAGGGGTGTAGGTGGTGATTGGGGGCTGTTGGGTAGGGTAACTCCCTGTGAGTCTTGGCGACCTGTCCTAGACCACTTCCACCACCGCCACTCACCGGTCGGGTACAACGATCCATGCCTGCATAGTACCGAACGCACTGTCTCAAGCCTATGATTATGATGGTGTTTGAAATTTAACGATGTTGAGTTTCCCCATCCTCCGCTTCGATGGAATACATGAATTTCGGATTCCGAACTGCGGTTTACCACAATGGGCAAATCCCACTTCTTGTCTCCGCTGTGTCTTCTTACGCCAACTTGGATTCTGACCTACAGGTTACCGCTCGGTGTGTTTTCTAACACTAATTTGGATTTCAATCTCAAACTACGATATTCGCAATACTTGCAACCCAATATGTGAGTGACAATCCATGACTGACATTCCTTATTCTGTATTGTTGCAGTATAGTCTTCCATCTCGTATGGTTAGGGTTGGTCAAGATTACTGAGCAAATGGATTACTTCTGGTAACACTAGAATATATTTTTCCGGCCCACGAACTGAATTCTTTTGAAACATGTCAGTTTTATCCCAGAGCCGCTAACCTCGAAACCTAAAGGAAATTTTCAAATATACTCATGAACTAACTTCTAATCTATAACATCGACAACTTACAATCCTAACAAAACCGATAAAAACTTTTTGCAAACACGATCCTTATGTCAATAGACGGCACAATATACAAAAATCTCATCGCACATCTGTTTGTACGCTAAGTTATTGACACCCTGGTTTCTGAATTGTGAACTCTTATCACTCCCAAACCCCTTGCTTAACAAAGGAAAACAACATTCATGACCGTAGCAAAATACTTATAACCTGGCATACCCAATCCCCTTACGCCCCCCTACCCCACCGAGTACTGCAAGCAGGAAAAGAAGACTTTCATAAGTCTCCCCTACACTCAACCGATACAGGATATCCGTCATGTTCCAGCAAGGCTTCCTGAATTTTTGCTTTGTGAGAACCCTACCCATAGGGATTTTTGCCCCCCAATGTTTCGCCGAAACCCAACAAGTTCAATCAACTCAATCTAGTATCATCGAACAAATTTAACTGAACAATGAACCATTCTTCATCTTCGCAGAACACGCCCCATACAATAAACAATACACCCCCGATATGACTACATCTACTCAAGATTGTCCTCCAGGAATCAAACGCCAGAATAGATCTGAACTATATATTATGGGTGGTTAGTAATGCCCTCACCATCGCTATTGAATGGATCAAACAAAACACCAACCAGATTAACCACGATAACACTGCGAGCAAGGAACTCATCTCCCCACAAAATGGGGCTCTGAAACACACCCTCGACATCCCAGCAAAACAAATGCTCGAAATAACTAAGAACCTTGACATAATAAACGGGAAACTCCACCGGCTACAACACCAAACCTCTTCAATGAATCAGACACAACAGAACGATTCCAACCACCACAGACCGATCATAGCCCCCCCAGCCCCAGCTGCAGGCCAACTCGCCCCATCACACAAAGGCAAGAAACTTGAAATATTTGTGCCCCCTGCCCAACCTAATTCAGCAGCGAACACGAATCATACGCTGTCGCCGCCGCCCAAGATACAGGGACTGAATTCACAACAGTCACCAACAAGCAGAAACAAAAACCTAAAGGTGACCAACTGTTTAAACCAGAAATCACAAAAATCAATTGGGAACTTGTTATCGAGAGAAGCAGGGATCCGCTAATCACCCCCCCCACAATGTCAGAACCAAAATCAACTCCGAAATCCAAGATCCTGACTGCCAACTCATCGCCAACCAGAAAACGAACAAAGATAACTATATCTTAGTATCAATATTCACAACCGTAGCTATCAAAGTCCTCAAATGCAAAAAGGAAATTGAAGCCGCCCGCAATAAACTAAAATTACCCATTATTAACAACAGAGTTGATTCCTTGAGGCAGTTACCAATGCTTTCCGGGTATTATATAGTAGAGGTCCTGAGGGCCTTTGTCAAGGTTTTGGAGATGCATATTCTGCTCCACTACCACCACGGCAAGCATGCCTTCTAGACCAAAATAACAGAAACGCTCAGTTCCCAATAGACCCAGTCAGCGTGCTTCAATTTCGTCTTCTGTTAATAAACGCTTACCGGATGCAATGAATGTTTCTAGTGCAGCCAGCTCTTTCAATTCTATAAACTCCATAGTTTGTGGATCGACAACGGAGGTGGACAGAGATTTTGGTAACGGCCCACCGAGTTTTGTAGAGAGTTTCGATAGCTATCCCGAGGGCCGATCTGTAACGGCAATATTGCATATTGGCTAAGTCGATAGATTGTATCGTGGGGAGGAGGTATGGCGCAGTTGAACTAGGATTTGCAATGGGGTTTCTGTTATGTTCTTTCGGTTTCCGTTATGCGGGGTGTTAGTCATCAACGAACTAGGAGTTGGGTATATAAGGGGGGGTTGTTTCATACCTTTTCATGTTTCCCTTCCTCTCCTTTTCTCTTCACGGAACCTTTGTATTTACCCTCGCAACACCAAAACTTTCGAACAAACAATAACTTTTGGCCTGCACCCCCGATAAAACTTTTACTCGAACACGATCCTGTATGTCAGTAGACCGCGTAATCTACTGGTATCTTATCGCACATCTGTTCGTACGCGAAGTTATCCACGCTCTAGTTCCTGAGTTGTGAACTCTACCCCTCAACCCTCGCTTAAGCCTCGCGACCACAGCGAAAATAACAACAACAAACCTGGCCTCACCAAACCCACCCAACCCCCCAAATACCGCGGGCAGAAAGAGAACTCTATCAGAAGTCTTTCCTAACCCAATCCGAACAGGAACATCAGTGATGTCCCAGCAAGCTTCTCTGAGCTCCTGGTTCGCAGGAGCCCCCCCACCAGGAACTCCGGCCCCCCCTCGCTTCCCTGACACCCAATCGACCCAACAAACACAATCCA